CCTGGGGAAAGGGAGAAGGGAGGAGGAGATTTGATGCGCTCCCTGGGAGATGTCCCCTTGAACTGGGATTCCCCGCCCTACATCCCACATAGCTGCTGCTAAGGATGGGAGTGTTGCCCATGGTCCTCCCAGCATCTTTGGGCACCCAGAGATTAAGCATCCCTGTGCTGATGGTTCTGTTCCCGTCACCAAGGACCCCCTTCAGCTGGAGGCTGCCACTCAGCTGGTCCTGGCACGAGACCCAGGCAAACAGGCCTGGGTACCCTTGTCCCAGGATGACCCAGGAATTTCATGACTTAATGTTTTCAGCTTTTTTTTCAACACTTACAGAAGTCTTTTATTTTATCACAAGTAGAGTTCTGAGATATAGTGGTCAAGACAGAACCTGTCAGATGCCTGGAGTCCCCCAGCTCTGCCAGGTGCTGCCTCATGAGCAAGTTATCTACCCTTTTCTGAGCTTCATCATCTCCTGTGTAAAATGGGGGGAGAAACAGACCTGCAGCACAGGACTGTCCTGGGAACCCAGAGAGAGTCTTCGGAGAGCACTTAGCATGGCACGTGGGCACATGGGACAGAGTCAGTGTCGGCCAGTATTACTGTTGGATTGCACACTGTTAGTAGTGATGCTCAGGACAGTCCAGTAAGGTGGCTACTGCTACAGCATCATCCCCATTTGAAGATGAAATAAACCAGACTCGCAGTATGCTCTTTGCGGTAATTAACCTCACGCCTGCACCAGACATACACATGCACCCCCCCACATACACATACTCGTGCTGTCTTCTTTCTTTGGTGGTCTGTGTAAGGTAAGAAATCCTTGCTCAGGGCCAACTGCCGCAATAAATATGTCTCAAGAGACTTATGTTCAAAAGGCCAAAGCAAGCATCTTCCAATAAGCTGCGTGAGCCAAGAGGCGCCAAGGTCAGAGACAGACCAGGTTCCAGCACTTGAGAGACGGGAGGGAATGAACGTCAAGCTGAGTGAGTCTGAATTTATGCCCCAGGGCGGGAGCGCTGGAGATGAGGGCATGATTGGGAAGGACACTGCAGCTCTGAAGTTCGAGCCAGCGTATATGAAGGGACACCTTAGTGCTTGCAGTGTCCCAGGGGCCACATGGGCCACAGACATCAGGGGGCTTCCCTACAGCTGGAGCAAAGGTGAGGTGGCTCCAGGATCAGCCTTCTCTCAGCTCTCAGGCTGGTGGCTCCCCTCACCCTGCCTCAGGGAGGGTCTGAGCGGCCTTCTTAGCATTACAGGACATCTGCGTTATCCACTGCTGTGTAACAACCCTCAAAGGCAGTGGCATGAAGCAACGTCCACTTCATTATGATCATGACTTTGGAGGTCAGGGGTCTGGGCTGGGCACAGCAGTTCTGCTCAGCATCCAGAGCCTCAACCAGGGAGGCTCAGATGCCTGGACACGCCAGGCCAGCTGGACAGACCAGGGCTCTGTCTGGCGTTGGGCCTGGTCCATGTGGTATCTGCTGGAGCTCAACTGTCCATGATGGCTCCCTCACTCCCAACCCTTGAGCCTGGGCTGGGATGACTGGAACTTGTTGTTCCTCTTCAGGCAGCCTCTCCTGTGTCCAGCTGGGACATCCTAGAAGCACGGTGATCTCAGGACAGTCGGACTTTTCCCACGACCAGTTCCCTCAGAGCGAGTGATCCTAGAGACCCAGGAGGGAGCTGCAAGACTCCTCTGATCAACCTCTCAGGGGCCAACAGGCTGCCTCTGCTGTGTCACACACTGGCCACGCAAATCAGAAAAACCAATCCAGATTCAAGGAACAGACTTGACCTCTGAGCAGGCCAACTCGCTGGCAGGCACAGAAGCCGGCAGTCAGTGGCAGCCATCTCGGAGGCAAGCTGCCGTCCTGGGCAGGGCCAAGGGAAATGGCTTCCCTTTCTGTCTCTGTGGTGTCTGTAAGTTACTTAACCTCTCTGAGCCTCAGCTGCCTCATCTGGAAAGTGGGACGGATACCCTGCCCGTGGCTGTGTGAGACTTGAATGAGATGACTGTAATGATTGGCCCAGCGCCGCACACCTGTTAAGTTCTCTTCCTATGGTAGAGAGGCTGCAGTAACAAGTAGTTATGTCACTGTCACTCCAGTTTGTCCTTTGGATGTTCATTCTTCCAGTAACCACATACTCAGGGCATGCAGGGCCTGGGCCCCGGCCTCCTGCACATACAAGGCAAGAGAGACTTGTTGAAATCTCTGAAGGCAGAGACCAGCTGGGCTTTCAGATCTTTTGGGTGGCATCACTGGCTCTTAATGCTACACAGCATCACTGGGGTTGGCGTGGCTGGCTGGAAGGAGTAAGGCTTGTCACCTGAGCTTTTCCAACATTACAATATTATTTTCAGCCTTGTCCCAGTAGAATCTTCTGTCACAATAACAACTCTCCTCCCATTTGTTTTGGTTTGTTTGCTTGTTTATTCTTGAGACAGAGTTTCACTCTGTCACCAGGGCTACAGTGCAGTGGCATCATCACAGCTACCTGCAGGCTTGAACTTCTAGGCACAAGTGATCCTCCTGCCATGGCCTCCCAGAGTATTACGGGCATGGGCCGCTGTGTCTGGCCCTCTCCTCCCATTTAATTATCAATGGTGAGGATGATAATAGAAGAGGCAGGGTGACATGAGGAGGGACAGGAGAAATCAACCTGAAGGGGGCGCTTTCCACCATCCAGGCCCCTTGTTGAGCACCTGACCCCCACTGGCCTGTCTTGGGACCCAAGGTCCCCCAACCCCCAGCATCATCCTGAAGCCATAAGGCTCCTGAACAGGAGGGAAAATCACAGTGGCCAATTCTCTCTGCAATCATAGAAGAACATGATAAAGCTCTCTAAGATAAAACAAAGATGTCAAGGAGAACACCAACCAAACCAGAAGAAGCCATTTGGCAGGAAAATTTAATCCCGCAGTCCGTTCTCTTTGTCTTATCTGAGCAGTTTTCTAATTCCAGGAGCTAATTAAAAATGAAAAGATAGAACTTCTAACCCATTCCCTTTCAGACCCTTCAGGCTTTTCGTAATAGTCCTGAGAAAAACCTGAACCGCCCAAATGAGCATCTCTGAGTTTCATTTGAAGACGCCGGAGCCTTACATAGATCTCACTTACAGGAACTTGTTTTTAGGTTAATGATGAAGAAATTCACACTCATTAAGTCCCACCGTTGCAGCTTCTAAAGGCTACATGTTAGAGAAGCGCTGAATCTCACACATTCATCTTAAAGAATCCAATTTCCACCCAAGGCACAAATCTCTACTGTTCCTCCCTGGCAGATGGATCCACCATCTCCCACAGTAGCAGAGAACAAGATCAAAAGCCTGTGACTTCATTCTGAGAGACTAGAGGAGTCGGAAGCCCTGCCTGCCTTTCAGAGGGGACCCACGCGGCACTGAGGGGCAGAGCAGACGGTGACGTGAGTGCCGAGTGTAGGCAGTGGTGAGAGTTCAGCCTTCTCTGTGCAGTGATGGTCGGAGCTGCCTCCCAGTCCTCATCCTCCTCCACTATCATTTGCCTGTGCGTTACTAATTTACTAGTCTGACTCATCCCTGGAGGCAAACACAGGCTCAGTGTTCATTGCAGAGAAGCATTTAGCTTGCTGTGCAAGGTGCAATCTCTCCAACAAGCGAGTGTCTTATCTTGTAGGACCATTATTTCCTAACAAGCAGCTCACGGGACAGACGCCCCTCTGACAAGCCAAATCTCAAGCTCAGAGGTGATTCCCCCACTGGGTTCCCCCAATTGGTCTGGCAGTGATCTGACACCTGGTCAGTCCAGAAGCCCTGGGCCTCTTCCCCTTGGCCTTGGAAAGCCATCCTGCACCTCCTGCTCCCTCCTCATCAAGTGGGAATGATCCCATGCACTTCTCCCCAGCAACGTGGGGCCTGGGCTTGCAGTGTGCTTGGCTGGAGTGGAGGTGGGCAAGAGTGGAGAGGGCCCGTTGCAGTGTCAGCATTAGCAGAATATTTCTGTGACTGTAAGAAGCCAAGGATGAAAACCTGGGACAGAGCTCTCCTGTCCTCAGCTAGGACCGTGGCATTAAGGTTCTCTGTGACCAGGAAACATCTGCTGCTTGGACGCACTCTGACCTCTGGGTGTGCCTCTTTGGGGTCAGACCATGTCATGTTTTCTGGGTGAGAGAGGTCAGGATGGAGCTGTGCTGGGAAGGAAAGGCGGACATCAAAGCGTGTACCTGCAGGAGAGACGAGAGCTCGACATCATCTTGAGAGACAGGTTTCTGGAAGGTCCAAAGAAAAGACCCTTTCTTCCAGGCGCTGGCCTGACAGAATCTCCTGTCTCTTGCTGATTTGGTGATAAAATATAGAGTGGCCCCACAGGGAGAGCCAAAGCCTCAAGAAATAGAAGGATAATTGGCCCTGCTGGAGCGCTGTTTGCACGCTGGCTGCTGGGACTGTGAGACGCCACCCCAGCATGACTAATGCCTCTCCCCTCTGCCTAAATTAGGTTTTGATTGTGTTCCGTAGATGTTCCGCTGAACCACAGATGTTTGAGGTAAAAAGCCCCAGACTTCTCAGGAACACCTCCCGTGGAGTGTGTGGGATCCTCCTTGCAGGCATGGCTGAGGCACTCCCAGAACTCGGCAGAAACCCCAGAAGTAACCCCTTCCCTTCCAAGGCAGCTGCCCTGGGGGAGCTCTGGATAGAGGGGACCTTGGTTGGAGGGGAGCTCTCGATGGAAAGGAGCTCTAGGAGGAGGCTCTAGGGCCAGTGGGTCATGGGCCCTGCTCCTCGTGGGCCTAACTGGGGAGCTGGCTCCTGAGGGGCTGTGAGCTGTAAGCACAGGAGCCGCATCAGTGCCTGGGGTAGACCCTCAGTTAGCCCTGGGGTGTCCTGTTCCTAGATTTCCTCCAAGTCACTGCTGGAGCCTTTCAAGGTACCTGGCTAGTTCTCCTCCCCCGGTGTTCCTCAGCCATCCGAGTCATTCTGATCTTCCACGTGCCCTACTAAACGCTTTCTCATTTTTCTTGCAGAATCTAGCCTACGAAATCATCCTAACACTGGGACAGGCGTTCGAAGTCGCTTACCAGCTAGCACTACAAGCAAGAAAAGGGGGGCATTCCTCCACACTTCCGGAAAGCTTTGAAAACAAACCCTCCAAACCCATCCCCAAGCCCCGCGTTAGCATCCGCAAGTCCGTGGTAAGTAGAAAAGACAGGGGTGTTCTGAGAACCTTGCACAGGAGGGAGCGGGAACTGCCCACCGGGCGCTGGATGGTGTGGGTGCCATTTAGACCCCAGGCCTGCCCCTCCTCATCCTTCCCTTGGCCGCCACCTGTGTGTCCATCATCCTCTCAGCTTGGTTCCCACAAGGTCTTGGGGGCCACCTCCCTGAAGCTGGAGGCTCCAGAGAAAACTCCACTTTCACCTGTAGCAACCTGGTCAGGGACCCTGGCAGCTGCTGCTGTTGCTGTTCTTAGTGAATGTCTCCCGAAGATTCAGGAAAGCTTGGGAGAAACGTTTGCTGAGGCTTTGGCTGCCTTTCAGAGTCAAAACCTCTTGCAAGGCCCTAGCCTCCATGGGGGTCTACAGAGGTTCAGAGTGGCAATGTCCCTGCTCCCCAACTAGAGAAAGCTGAGTGTACCGGCTGCTGTGCTGTGTGAGAGGCCAAGGGGCCTTCTCTCCAGCAGCAGAGCTCTCCCCCTCTCATCTGCCTACCTCCAGGAATTTCCTCCCCTTCCCTCCCACAGCTCTGCAGACACCCTGTCCCCACAGGCTCCCAGGACTTCAAATCCACCTCCTCTGGTAGTCAGGAAGCCCCAGAGCTGGAAGGGCCAGCCTCCCATCTGGTTTATGCTCTGGCTGCTTTACACCCTAGAAACCCTGGGGTCCCCCAGAATGCACCGCTGCCTGGCCCCAATCCCTCCATCTGGAACTCTCTCCCTCTCCCACTGCCCTCCCTTCATAGGGGAAGAGCAGGCATTTTTAACCTTTGCAGGGAGGCACCTCCCTTGGGGACCATGTGGTTCCTTTTTACAAACTTCCTCCTGGCCCCTCTTTTGTCCTCCTCTTGACAACTGTGACATCATCCCCTCCAACATTTGTCCCCTGCTCCTTGACAGTTTGCTTGCGGGGTCTTGCTCTTCAGCCAGGCCATTCTGCAGGCCGGTCACTCATGAGCGAGCACCACGGGAGCCGCACCCCCTCTGGGGTCTCTACTCACTTGCTGTGCCCTCTTTAGGACCCCCCCAGCCCACAGGCTTCCCCTTCACCATCTCCAACCCCGATCCACCCCCAGCTCAGGACTCACACACTCCCCTTCTTCTTTCCCATGTCCACTTTGCTGCCGACCAGACTTCTGAAGCTCAGGATGTGCAGAACAGAGTTCTTGATTTTCCCCTTCAGAGCGGCTTCTCTCTCCATCTTCCCCAGCCCGGTACTCAGCACAGCCATTCCATGCTGCTGAGGCCCTCATCTCCAAGCCTGGACGCCTGTCTTGCCCTCACCTCTGTGTCCAACCCAGGAGCAAATCCCCCCACGCCAGCCCTGTGAACTCTGCCCCTCCCCCCTCATCACTCTTCTAGTCTAAGCCACTGCTACCTCCTGCCAGGCCTGCTGCCTCGGGCTGCCCTCTGCAAAACAGCAGAGGTCACATCCTGGCCCCCATCCCTTGAACACCTGGAACCCGAGCTCCCACCACACTCCTCTTTGGTGCTCTGGCCTTCCTGTCCTGTGACTCTATAAGGCTCACTCCTAGCTGAGGCCTTTTGCCACCTGTTCCCCGCCACCCTGGAATATTCACCCTCTGATTTCTGCATGGCGGACTCCATCTCGTCACTCAGACTCAGCTTTTCCTGAGCACCGCTTTTAATTCTGGGTAGCAGTTATGATTGATTTTTTTTTATTTGTCACTTGTAGATTATCTATCTTCCTCCACAAAAATAGAGGTTTCATGTTCACACAGGGACCTCCTCTGTTTTGTCACCACTGGGACCAAGGCCATAGCAGGTGCTCAGTGAATACCTATGGATGAAGAAATGAGGGCCCAGGGATGGACTTAACAAATACATCTTTGAGATTAATTAGGCGGTTAAGTGTCCAGGGATTTACAGAATGTTTTTGATATTATATTCCTCTTCATGTGAGCCAGATAAATCTGTTCCTGCCAGCTGTTTGTGTCTAACTCTACCTTGGTCCCCAAACACTCCTCCCAGCAGAACACAAAGAACGGTCAGGTGCCATAAGGGCTCATAGAACATTCAGCTCGATGCTGTCCCTGGGAAATAGGAAGATGTATGGTGACTAATACTGATCTTTGCCTGGCTCAAAATCCATCCCTATTGGCTCAGCACCCGTAGCACAGTGATTACGGCACCAGCCACATACACCAAAGTCGGTGGGTTCAAACCCAGCCTGGGCCAGCTAACCAACAACGACAACTGCAACAAAAAATAGCTGGGCATTATGGCAGGTGCCTGTAGTCCCAGCTACTTGGGAGGCTGAGGCAAGAGAATCGTTTAAGCCCAAGAGTTGGAGATTGCTGTGAGCTGTGACATCATAGCACTCTACTGAGGGTGACATAATGAGACTCTGTCAAAAGAAAAAAAAATCCATTCTTATCAACCAACATCCATGTTTGATGTCCCTTAGCGCCAGGCATTTCTTGTTAACAAATCTTCAGTGATTCCTAAGAGCAAGTGAAGTCTTCCCACAGCCCATGAGGACACAGGACAAACATGGTAGAAGGCAGGGGGTCCCCCAGCAGGCTGCAGGACTCAGGGTGCACTAGGAATGGGAGGGAGAGTCCTGCCCAAAGCCCCAGCATCCCTGACCACAGCAGGTGGCCATGGCAGGGCAGAATCACCAAAGGAGGGGGCAGTGATTTGGTGCAAATCTCACTCTGGGCTCCTGGGAGCTAGCTGCAGGAACACGCTGCTATCCTTGGTCGAGAACTCTCAGCCTGACTAGGGCCCTGCTTACCACTCCTCAGTTATCTCCCCTACTGCCCTACCGCAGCTCTGAGAACTGACCCTAAGCCCTCAAATGGCTACTTTCCCTTACCTCTAGGACTTTTTAAAATGTATATATATATTAGTTGTATATATTTGGGGGCTACAGTAATATTTTGACATATGTATACAGTGTGTGATGATCAATCAGGGTAACTGGGATATCCATCTCCTCAAACATTTATCTCTTCTTTGTGTGGGGAACATTCCAGATTTACTCTTCTGGCTATTTTTGACATATACAATAAATAATTGTTAACTATAGTCTGCTCCCTCTGCTATCAAATGCAAGGACTTATTCCTTCCATCTGACTATTTATACACATTAACTGACCTCTCTTCCCACACCCTTCCCCCACTCTTTCCAGACTCTGGAAATCTACGCTCTATCTTCATGACATCCACTTTTTCAGCTCCCACCTATGAGCGAGAACATGAGATGTTTGTCTTTCTGTGCCTGGTTTACTTTCCTTAACACAATGATCTCCAGTTTCAACTGTAGGGTTGCAAATGACAGGACTTCATTCTTTTTAATAGCCAAGTAATATTCCATCAGGTGTATGTATGTGAGCCACGTTTTCTTTATCCATTCATTCATTGGTGGATACTTAGATGTTGATTCCACAGGCATCAGTGAATAAACACAGGCCTACAAATATCTCTTTGACATACCGAATTCCTTTCCTTTGGAAAGGAAATCCCTCCCAGCAGTGGGATTGGTGGATCAGACAGTCGTCTATTTTTAGTTTTTTGAGGAATCTCCATACTATTTTCCTAGTGGCTGTGCTAATTTGCATTCCCAGCAACAGTAGGGGATTGTTCCTCTTTCTCTGCCCCCTTGCCGCTCATTTTTGTCTTTTTGATAACAGCCGTCTTTACTGGAGTGAGAGGATATCTCGTTGTGGTTTTCGCTTGCGTTTCCCTGGTGATTAGGGATGTTGAACGTTTTCTCAGATACCTGTTGGCCATTTGTGTGTCTTCTTTTAAGAAATGTCTTGTCAGGTCTTTTGCCCACATTTGTTAATTGGATTATTTGGTTTGGGGCTTATATTCTGCTATTAATCCTTTGCTGGATGGATAATTAGCAAATATTTTCTCCCATTCTGTCATTTGTCTCTTCACTTTGTTGAATGTTTCCTTTGCTGTGCAGAAGCTTTTTAGTTTACTATACTCCTATTTGTCTGTTTCTCTTGCCTGTGTTTTTTTTGTTTGTGAGACAGAGTCTTACTCTGTCACTCTCGGTAGAGTCCCATGGCATCATAGCTCACAGCAACCTCAAACTGTTGGGCTCAAGTGATCCTCTTGCCTCAGCCTCCCAAGTAGCTGGGACTGCAGGTGCCCACCACAATGCCCAGCTAGTTTTTGGAAACAGGGTCTCACTCTTGCTCAGGCTGGTCTCAGACTCCTGAGCTCAAGCAACCCACCTGCCTCGGCCTCCCAGAGTGCTAGGATTATAGGCATGAGCCACCGCGCCCAGCCATCCTACCTGTGGTTTTGAGGTCTTACCCAAAAACTCTTTGCTCAGACCCATGCTCTGTGGCATTTCCCCCCTGTGTCCTTCTAGTACGTTCTGGCTTCAGATCTTACATTTAAGTCTTTAATTCATTTTGAGTGGATTTTCATCTATGGTGAGAGATAAGGGTCTGAAGCTCCTTCTGCATGTGGTGATTCTGGGACTTTGCCCCATGCTGGTCCCTCTACCTCAAAGTATGTTACCTCCTCCCAGCTTCTCCAGGTAAATGCTTGCTGGTCCTTCCCTCTTCCAGTCAAATATTCCCTTCTTCTTTCTTGAAATAATACTTATTCAACAAGACTTTAGTGTGTGCTTACTATTTACGGGGTTGCCAGAAGTTTCTGAGCATGGGGGAAATGGCAATAAACAAAACGGACAAAATCCTGCCCTCACAACACACAACGTTGTGACGGAGGATGAAGAATAAACACATATGTAGGGCAGTAAGTATGGTGACACAGAGAAGCTGAGCCAAGAAGCCGAGTTGCTATTTTGAAGGAGGCCTGGTAAGGCCTCCAGGAGAGGTGACCTATGAACCCAGACCTAAATGACATCAGCGCAGGAGGCATGGTGAGGACTCCGGGGTTCCTTTGGATGGAAACCCTGGAGGGTGAGAGCCAGGGAGGGGCAGGGCCTCATTCACCTCCTCCAAGAAGCTCTCCTGGCTCTTCCCCTCGTAGTTCACTTCTCAGTGCTGAAATCTGTCTCTGCTCCCTATCTGTGTACCCTCGAGGGCAAGGGCCGTGTCTCATCACCTCTCACCCTTTGGGTACCTTGCAGAGAGTCCGTACGCAGTAAAGTGTGTCCAAAGAGCGAACACGACCGTATAACAGGCATCAGCCTTTCTGTTTTAAAGCAGATCGACCCATCTGAGCAAAAGACTTTGGCCAATCTGCCGTGGATTGTGGAGCCGGGACAGGAAGCCAAGAGGGGAATTAATACCAAGTATGAAACCACGATTTTCTGATACCCGCCGTCCTCCTGTCCTCGCGGTGCCTTGCTCGCCAAGCGGTCCCGGAGGCTTTCCTTCGCCTCCGTGTCCACCCAGCCCAGGAGGAAGACTGCTCTGTTGTGGCCTTGCCACGGGCAAAAGGCCACTGGCCATTCCTGGGGAAGTTCTTTCTGCACCAGTGACGGAAAACGCCAGACTTTCCAGTCGCAGCCCCTGAGAGGCGTGAGTTGAGACGGGTTCTCCCTGCTGCCCCAACTCCCCTCCCTACCGCTCCCAAGGTATTTCTAATGACTCTGCCCCATACTTGCTTTGCTTTGTTTGGGGATAACGCTTTTTATTTAAAAAAAAGAAAAAGAAAAAGAAAATATACCGAGATCTCTAATACTGCCTAAAAGCATAAAATCTTGGATGTAGTTTTCACTCTCAGCAATTTTAAAGGTAAAATCAGAACAGAATTGCCGCCCTCCCCCATAAAGCTCCCGTGTAATCGTGGTATCGCCAACTTATCATTGAATGCAAAAGGACAAAGACACCCCCCCCTTGATTGCCAGGAAATTCCATTTCCCAGTTTCTATATTTGTGGATTTTTTATGTCATTGCCTATGTCAGATAAAGAAAACCTTTACATCTAAGGATGGGTTCAAAATTCAAGAGTGATTTAAAACAGAGGAATTTATTATACACAGAAAAAAATGTGTCTTGTATTAAATATTTTTATTAAAAGAATGTTTCATTAATGCATTGGTAAGAAAACTAGGTTAGTTGTGAGGGATATTTCTGGTTTCATTTCAAGTAACTAAATTTGTACTGCTACCACCAAGAGGGCTGGCTTGGGCGTAGCAAAATACTGATGAACTGCTCCCCAGAGCAGGAGAACCACAATTGCTGATGCAGCCTTCAGCCTGCAGAGATTGTTTTTTTAATCTTCACAGTGTTTTAAAGGACATGTTTAAAAAATAATCAAATAATCTAGGGCTCCTGCTGTCAAGATTTCTGTCATGGAAACCTTGTTTGAGAAAGGTGTTAATAAAATTCTATTGCAAAAATTTTTTTTTCTAGAAAAAAAATAAATGCAAAAAAAAAAAAGAAGAAGAAATTCCAAAGTAATAAAACTTTTCTTGAAACAAATAAAAAAAAAAGTTTGCTTACTATTTGATTAAATAAAATTTACTTACGTTTCTTTAAGGTATTTTAATTTTTTTAATGTCTCTGTGGAGTATTTGTATGATACCATAATGTATATTTATGTAGAATCAAATTATATGAACAGTACCAATATCATTATAGAAAAAAAAAATAACATTTTAATGTATATTGTTCTAACCGATCATATTGTGAATCATTTTGAAGTTCATTATAGCGATATGGATAAATTGTGGAATTGTCTTAATGTTTTTTTTTATTAACTGATATTATTTTAAACCTGAGCTTATCAGTTACATTCATCAGTTGGTGAGTTTTGAAGAATAACTAACTTTTATTTCAAACTGACAAATGTATATGGTTTTAGTTCAGTGTTGAAGAATTTTAATACAATATTAAATTACTTGAACTGAACAGTTCTTTGTATATATTTTGCCAATTCACTGTTGATATGTATGTAGTCAAATAACACTAAAATATGGTACCAAGAGGAGATTGTATAGGAGCAAAGTAAATAGGAGCTTTGCTGAAACAGAAGCGTATGTGTAAATAAGCTTGGGCTTCCAGTTATAAATTTTGTAATTTTTGTCATTATTTATATCCTATAAAAAAGCACACAAAAATAAAACAGAAGTTGTACAGCCACTAGTGCATGGCGTCCTTCTGTGAGCACGTCCCCATTCCCATGTAGGAGCAGAACCAAAGGCCCAGCCTCCTCAACACCCACAGCAAAGGGGACTTTTCTAATTGGCAAAATCGTTGAGAAAATTTGCTCATTTCCAAGTTCAACCAGTCTGAGAAAGAGACACTGGCCTCTGAGGCTTGAATTTCAGCCCACATCCCCCCAGTTACCTTTGTTTAAATATTAAAGTGGCTTGTAAGGAGGAATTGCCAAAATGGAAACTTTTAAAGGAGAAAGGACCACCAAACTGGATCACGTCATGGTCCAAGATGGATGGTATTTTGGAGAAATATTACGTAGTAATCATCAGCTCTTTCATTTTTCCTCAAGCCAACTGCCTGCTGCCAGGTGCACGCGATGAGGCCATGCTAGAGCTGCAGGTGTCTGCGGTCCCTGACTCACATTCCGCCTTTGGTGACCTTCAGGGGGGTCTCCCTACTGCTCCATCCAAGTTTGTTACCCTCAGAGTCCCACACCAAAGCAATCTCAGGCTGCTCCCAGCCTGACATGCAGAACCCTGGGGGGAGTTGAACCCCAAGGAGCTAAAACTAGCCTGAGATGAGGAGTGAGATTCACACCGAGAAGGGCAGGTTTCCTGAAGGAGGGTTTGGGCTGGGATTTCTCGTTGGAATGCTTCACCTGGGCTAGTTTGACCTCTTTTTCACCTTTCTTGACCACCAAGAGGTCAGCAATCCTCTTATTTATTCTCTCTGTGGTCAAAAGTGTACTGTGTTTATATCAGTAATGGTTCCAGCATGAAGCACATGGCTCACTTCAATTGGGACAATTTAAAAATTTTTTAAATAGATGCCACGCAGAGAGGTTGGCACCATGCAGGGAATCCAGAGGGGAGATGGTATCCTTGAGCTGGTAGCCGCCTGACAGGCAGTGAGACAGGCTATTTGGAGGGGCTGCCCCCCAGGTGAGGGACATGGCCAGCTGCAGGGACTCTCAGAGAGGAGCCACTCCTCCCCCTGCATTGCCTAAACCCCCCCGAGATCAGAAGGTCCATACAGGGCAGCCCCACAGACCGAGCAGGGGCAGACAGCAGAGAGCCAGCCAGCCTAGGCTTTAAGGAAGGGAATCTCTAGCTAATTTTCTTGAAGGAAAAATTGACACACCACTAACTGTAATAACCATGAGGTCGGGGAGGGGGGTTCTTTGAAAGCTAACATTATTCAAAAAAGAACTTGAATTCAATTACTCCATTCATTTTTTTCTTATTAAGTTGTATTCTATGATAAATTTGAGAGAATGAGCCCTATGAAAATTATGCCTGGTTAGTTCATTAATAAGTCATGGGAGTGATTTTTCTCAGGGCTTACCAGATTTTTTCCAAGTTGGAATACTTAGGAATATCACTGGTACATGTAATGTTTAGATATAATGGAGAAGACAGGCTTAGATAAAGAACACGTGGCCAAATTCTCAGACATTGCTTCTAAGCTATTTCTGAAAAGAAATGAAAATGTGATAAGTGGTCTGGCCTCCAGAGACCCCAGAGAAATGGAATATAATGGCCATGTTCGGAAATCTATATGGATTAGGCCTTTCAGGCTGCTAAATTTTTAAGTCCTCTTTTTACGGAGGCTATTCACTGTGTTTCCTGTAAAAGTTAAGCAATCTGACAGTTACACACACGGGCCAGCACAGAGTGTACCTGCATCAGGGTCCCGTGGCCACTCCACACTCTGTGCCTGACTCCCCCTCACCTAACTGCTGTCTGTGCCTCTCCTAGGCAGATGGACCCCAGCATCTGCACCCCAGCAACAGTCTTGCTTCCCACAGAAACCATTTCCAAAGCAGGCCAAGAGCACACTGGGAACTGGTTTAGGCCTGCTGGCCAATCACCGTCCTGCATGCTGTGTGATGCCTTTAGTAACTGTGAGCTAGAACTTATTTTTGTGGTTAAATTATCCCTATAACCATGGTGCCAACCTGGGAAATGCTGATGCCACGCAACTGTTTCCCGTCTTCAGCTGAACCCAGTCTGCTCATTGGGCCCTCTGATCCACGTGGCACCATTTTCAAGTTGCTTCTGCAAAGGTGATTGGTCCCAATCCAAAATATTATACACTCAGTGTGCAATTCAAAAAAGAATCCTAGCTACAGATAATTTTTCTCTTCAAAACCCGAGAGCCCTGTGTTTGTAAAAGCCACAGGGGCATCTGACTTTCCAAGAGTAGTTAATGACCAGTGATGGAAAGACTCAGACATCAGGCTGAAATAAGAGACCCTCCATTTATCAGCTCCAGTGGGGTCACCCAGGTGGAAGGTGGCAGCTGCAAGCACCAGGGGTCCTTTCTGGGTTCAGACAGCAGAGGAGAGTGGGTGTCAGATGACAGACACCCCCCCCCCCCAGTACAGCTGCGCTGACACACATGTTCTGAGTCCTGCCATTTACAAAATCTCCAAGTTCTGTCTCTTCACCACAGTGATAGCACGCTGAGATGGAGTCAGCTTTTACATCCAGTCAGCTCACAACATGGTAATAAAAACCATTCCGAGCCATCCATATTCAACAGTCAATTTAATTGTCCTCTGGACGTCTCAGAGCCTCCATCCAGCATCCCACCACCTGCTCCCTGCAGAGCCGCCCGCAGCCTGCAGTCTCTCTCCCTCACAAGTGGCAATAAGGCACACGGTGAGGAAAGTCAAGAGGCCCCCAAGGAAGTGGCAACATCCGCTGCTTCCTGACATCTGAGGCTCATTTCTCTCCGAGTCTCGAAAGTGCATGCTCACTTTCCTGTGAAAGAAAAAAATCCCAACGTGTTAAGTCGGAGAGACTGGGAAAGCAGTACAAGAGAATTAGCAATTCCATCTTAGCAGGCCATTTCCAGGTGTGGGTTGTGGGGCAGGCTGCAAACTCAGATGTCACGAGGGGCGTCCAGACCCAGGGAGGGAGTGGGCTGGGGCTGTGCCTTGTCTTGGGACAGCTGCTGCTGAGTTCCAGCGACTGTTGGCAGGCAGAAATGAAGACCCTGCATTGACAGAGTTTTCTAAGAAATACGGATTCTTTTTTTTTTTTTTTTGAGACAGGGTCTCTATTGTCTGAACTAGACTGCAGCAGCCTCATCATAGCTTACTACAGCCTCAAACTCCTGAGCTCAAGCAATCCTCCTGCCTCAGCCTCCTGTCTAGATGAGACAACAGGTGCCTGCTACACTGCCCAGCTAATTTTTCTATTTTTAATAAGGATAGGATCTTGCTCTTGCTCAGGCTGGTATTGAACTACTAGCCTTAAGTAATCCCCTACTTCAGCCTCCTAGGTAGTTGGGACTATCAGCATGCCCCCATACCCAGCTAATTTTTCTAATTTTTCTATTTTTTGGTGCAAATGGGGGTCTCACTCTGTTTCTCAATCAGGTCTCAAACTCCTCAAGCAATTATCCTACCTCAGCCTCCCACAGTGCCAGGATTACAGGCACAAACCACTAAACCTGTCCAGAAATAAGCACTTTTTTATGCAAAGTCACTGGGTTTTGAAATGTTGTCAGTAAGTTGGCAAAAAGTAAAGGTGAGCCAAACAAAACTCACCTGTGGCCTGAGTGTGGGCCATGCATCGCTTATTTGTGAACTCTTAAAGTCACTTTATGACTTTCGGAGACTTTACAGAGTTTCAATGGCCTCACAGCTACATTTTCCCATTGGCGGGAGAAGTATATCTGTGACTGGGGTGAGTGGGCACAGAAGGCAGAGATTCAGGGGTCAGCAACAGTTGTTGAAATGCTGTTAATACACCAGGTTTGTTTGTGGGAGCATCAGGAATTGCATTAACCACCAAATCTGAACAGAAAAGACCCCACAGCTGTGTTAATATGCACACCAAACTTCTGTGTGCTGTCCAGCACACTGCTGAGAATGCCATGGGCAGAGCAGGTGCGTACAGGCATCACTGCGCTACAGGCACCAGGGGCAAGTGCAGAGGTCCCAGCTCTCAACTTACATTGCACGCTGGAATCACGTGGGGAACTTTAAAAACTAGTAATGCCTGGGTCCCACCTCCAGAGATTCTGGATTAATTGGTCTGGGGTGAGGGCTGGGTTTGGGGAGGTGTTCTAATTCTCTAGGTAATTCCAGATACAACAAATTGTTAGAAGCATGCTCCTGGGTGTCCCGGGCCCTCTGATCCCCTGAGAAGTCAGGGAGCCCACGTGGCTCCACCCACCAAAGGCCTCCTAGGAAGTAGGTCCTTGAGGAGGTTAAGCCATTTGCTCAAGTAGCACAGATGGGAAATTAGTGCAGCCAGGATTTGAACTTACATCCACTTGACAGCCAAAGTCACACAGATGCCACCAGGTTTCCAAGCCACAGGCCCCAACAGAGAGGCCAAGGTCATTTCCCCTCCCAGTCCCAGCCCTCCCCACCACTCGGTGTATGCATAGCCCAAAGAGAATCAAGTTTGGAACAGTTCAAAAGGGAGCAGATGACAGCTTTTCTGCTAAGTCTGTCTCCTAAAAGCCAGCAGCCTAGGAGGAGGGGACGTATAGGAGGGTGCCCAGCGACAGGTGCGGCCCATGGAGCAGAAGCAGCAAGGTCCCCATTTGCTAACCACGGAGATTTGGGCAGCACAGGAATGGGGGGTTGTAACTGGCACAAAACAGAATTATTATGCTGTTTATGGCGTCCTATGTCAGATGCTTGACATTTTTTTAAGTCTCACAATATCTCTGCATAAATGTGTTTGTTCCCTACTTGACAAGTCAGGAAAGGAAAGGGAGGCTCTGAGGGATTAAACCTTACCAGATGAAAGACAAAGGAGAAGAGGGAAGAGGAGATCAGATAGCAGAAGGAAGCACAGACCCCAGGATCTTTCAAAGTAGAAACTGCCACCATCCCTGCTCAGGGCTGCAGTCATTTGAGAATTGAGAGCGGCTTGGGCACTGGCCCTAAGTGCTGGCTAATCCAATGTATCCCCTGACCCTTGCTGTACACTGGCTGTCTTCAGAATGGCCCCAGATGCTTTTTCCAAAGAGCAATCTGCAGGCACAGAGACAGACGCCAAAAGTAGAGCTCCTGAGAAGCAGAGACGGCGTCCGAGGTCGGTACTGGTGCACCGTCCTGACGTGTGCAGTGGATGAGTGAAATGAGTAATGAATGAGGGGAATACGGAGCTGAGGTGATGCTCCTGGATCCTCCAGCCCAAGGGGGTCAGTGGGGAGGTGCAGGCAGTGTTAGCCAGAGGAGCAGACTGCCTTGGACCCAAAACCCAGCTTCACCACTTAGCTACCAGGCCGCAGGGACTTAACATTTCTGCACCTGTTTCCACACCTACAAAAGAGAGATAAGTGTTTGCAGCACTGTTGTGAGAATTCAATTAAATAATGTATAGGAAGTGCCTGGCCCAAGGCTTGGCACATAAAAGGCCTTCAAAACAATAGCTCCCGGGGCAGTGCCTGTGGCTCAAAGGAGAAGGGGGCCCCCCGCCCTGACCATGTATGCCAGAGGTGGTGGGTTCAAACCCAGCCCCGGCCAAAAACTGCAACAAAACAAAACAGTAGCTCCCCTTCCTTCTTCCTAAAAATGATTTGTTATGTCTCAGAAATTGACAGAGAATAGGGTGATAAACTCAAGGTGATGAGTTCAGAATCACAGCTAATTGAAAGTGAATTAGAAATAAGAACATCGGCTCGGCGCCTGTGGCTCAAGCGGCTAAGGCGCTAGCCACATACACCTAAGGTGGCGGGTTCGAATCCCCAGCCCGGGCCTGCCAAACAACAATGATGGCTGCAACCAAAAAACGGCCAGGCGTTGTGGCGGGCGCCTGTAGTCCCAGCTGCTTGGGCGGCTGAGGCAGGAGACTCACTTGAGCCCAGGAGTTAGAGGTAGCTGTGAGCGTGATGCCATGGCACTCTACCCAGGGGGACAGCTTGAGGCTCTGTCTCAAAAAAAAAAAAAAAAAGAAAGAAGAACATCTCCAAAATCATCACATAAGCTAATGAATGATCTTCCCCAGCTGCTGAAGCCCAAGCCTTGTGACCCCTAGACTGGAGTTCACCCACCACTGCACCCAGGAGTATCCTATTTGCGATTGTAACTGACACACGACTTACACCCTAGTGGGTCTGGGCCTTTCTATAAAGAAAATCATATTTGGATCTTTTGGGTTTAGTTGGGGCTTTAGTTCTTTCTCTAAACACTGTGGTTGCACAGTCTGCAAATCCACTGACGACTGTGACAGACGGGGATGAGGGCGGGGCCGTTTAGAGTGGGCGGGGCCGTTTAGAGTGGACAGGCCGTAACTACGGGAATGATGAACAGGTGAATGATGAATGGACGTTTGTTACCTTCCTCGGAACAGGCACCTTGGTAATGGGCACCTACTATGTTTCCAGTTTGATCAGTCTCTGGGAACCACCTGCTCCAAACACAGGCCCCGAATGCCCTCTCTAGTTACATATTCTAGCCCTGGGTCGTGGGAAATTATAGGGGCAGATTTTCTATTCATTTCCTTGTGATAAGCGGTATTCCCAATCCTGAGGGCCTGACCTCATAAATGAATTTACAGTGAGCACCAGCCTCACTCAGCACTCATTCACCTGAATCATAATTGAAATGAAAATTTCCCCAGTTCTGGTCTTCCCACGATCTCGTCTAACTCAGGAGCAAGTCATTGTCGTCAAACGACTACAGAGGCCTGGTCTCTGATGGGGCCCATCTGGCCCACGTCTTCTGGCCTCCACGTGAACATACACAGTAATTCTTCCACAGTTAAACTCATGGCCCAAGAGCAGCTGATTTTCTAATGCACGTGCTTAATAGCTGGCTAGCATTAATATATTTCCAGTCCTGAGGGGAGGAGTTGTGAGCAAAGATCTATTCCAGGGACAATCTTTACAGACTAAGAATGATGACAAAATCATTTTCTTCTTCTGTAAAGGTCTGTAAGTAAATTATAATAATATAAAGCATTTGCTGAATAACAGACGGCCGTACATGCTGACTAAAACACTCCAGTGATGTGTTGAATCATTCCATATGATTTGGTAGCAAACCTTTTATCCAAGTAGTTTTACTTTCCCCTACTGATGTTTCACAGTAAAATACCGAACTAAAACAGGAAGATAAAGAAAACGCTGGTGATGTGGTATGTCACCATTTGATGGCCTCACCACAGCGTCGCTGAAAGGGAGGGGCACATGGGAATTCCCGTCACCCACCAAGGGTTTCCTGAGGCCCAGCCTTCTGGAACGTGTCATCTACTGGGACCCCAATGAGGAAACAAGCAATTCCAAGACGGGAGAGTGCTGGGAGAGGGTAGGGCAGCCCTTCAGCCCTTGAAGGTGGTCTCAGAGCATATGTGAAAGGCATGGAGTGGGGGGAGAGAAAATGGAGCTACAGGGACAGCACGGAAGAGAACAGCACACACAAAGCTCCAGAAGAGAGCATAGAGCAGGCCTCGGGTTTGAAGCAGAGAACTGTAGACACCGTTAAAGTGTTTAAGAGAGACACTTAACACGATTCAAATGAGTGCTCTGGGAAGATCATGCAGAGGGGCAAGATTGGAGGCAGAGATGGCAGTCGGGGCTGTCACAGACCCAAATGACACCACGGATGGCTGAGCACTGTCTTGATGTAGGCAGTGAGAGGAGAGTATCTCATTAAATCCCACAACAGCCCCAAGGGAGGAACAGACCCCCATTTTACAGACAACTGTAACAAACAAGCTGCTGTGGGCTTGTTTTCCTATTACCTGTTGATCCCATATTCTCCTAACCACCAAATGTATTTACTTACTGTTTTGTGTCCTGCTTACAACAGTGGTCAGTACGTAGCAGATGCTCAAGACATGTATATAAGACAGACGGGGGCGGCGGGGGGTGGGGGGGGGGAGGACACACAGATACAGGAATCTGCCCAAACGACATTGAGTAAAGGAGCCCAGGCTGGCTGCATGCACTCACCACACTAACCTGTCATTTTTGGCTTTGCTGGTCCTTTTCAGCCGCCTGTGCTGGTTCCTCATCCCACTAACCTCCAGACTGCCCTGGACTCAGTCTTGAGGCCTCTCGTCTTTTCTCTCTCCACCTGCTTCACTGCTGCTTTCATCCAGTCCTGTGGCTTCAAATCCCATCAACTCACTGGTGACTCTGATCTCTCTCTCAGCATGGCCTTTCCCATGAGCTCCAGACCCTTTATCCTTCCCCTACTCAGCATCTGCACTTGGACATCTGATGGGCATCCTAAGCTTTCTGCATCTGAACACCTGCTCCTGTCATAATCTTCCTCATCTCACTTGATAGCAGCTCTGTTCTTCCAGGGGCTCAGGCCACAACCTTGGCATCATTCTTGCCTTGTCTCTCTCACAACCTTTATCTAATCCATCAGCAAATCCTATTAACTCTGATCTTCAAAATACCTCCAGAATCTAACTTGTCACAACCTCTCCTGCTGCCACCCGTGCATTTTGCCCAGATTATTGCCAAAGCTTCTCATTGGTCCCCTTTTCAATGGATTCCCAGTTGAGTCCCCTTCCAGGGTGATTAAGTGAAAGCTCAACTCAGATCACATCACGGCTCAAACTCCTACCCTGGCTCGTATCTCAGAGTTAGAGCCAGAGTCCTCACCGTGGCCTAGGAGGCAGTCCCCCATGTGCCCCAAGCCCACCTGTCCTGTGGGACTCCCCACACTCACTGTTCTCCAACCACGCCAGCCTCCTGGCTGGTCCCAGAATACACCAGCCCGTCCTACTCTATAGACTTTTTGCTGTATCCTCACTTGTCAATGGTTTCCAGATAGAGGCATAGTTCACTCCCTCAAATCCTTCAAGTGTGTACTCAAGTGTCACCTGAACGAGCCACCCTCTCTCAGACTGGACCCCCTCCCCCTCCAGTTTGTCTGTCTCGTCCTGGTCTCCCAAGAGTAAGGACTTTGGGAGGCCAGGGCGAGGACTTTGTTTGGCTCCCTCCTCTGTCCCCAATACCTACAACAATCCCATGCACAAGGTAGATCTCAATAAATATTTATTGAATGTATGAATTTAAAAAATGAATAAATAAATTCTCTTTTTTACAGGATCTTCTTCATACCAGCCACACCGGGCAGCAACCATCACAGAGACACACTGAGGAGACACTCAGAGAATTTTCATAGAATTGAATTTACACTTAGCTGATAAAGCGCAGATGGAAAGGCTGACGGATTTAGCTTGAATCTTTCATATTAGTCTTCTAATCAACAGATAAATGACAAAGAGTCTGAAAGAATCCAAAAATGTTTTTCAAGAAACTTTTTGGAATTTTATTTTTATAAAATCTTTTAAAATTCATGTTTTAACATGCATACCAAGGCAAAAAAAAAAAAAATTATGAAAGCTATATCAAATACAAAACAGTTTTCAAAACATACAAGAGACATTACAATATAAAAAAAATCTTTATATGTACAAAGTCAATTGCAAATTTTAATACAAAAAGAAAAAAATACAGTACAGAAAAATGGTCTTCCAAAGCTCACCGGCAAGCTAGGAAACAACCCGCCTCTGACCGTGCGAGTGAGCTGCTGTGAGCTTTGCAGCCCCATTAACATGAGTTGCCTCATCTTGCCCCATGTTACCTTTCTTCTTGTTTTTCTCTTCCTTCTTTTTAAGACAAGGGCTGATCAAGCCTTTTTAAACGCTGATATTTATTGTGCTATTTCAAAAGCCAGCGTCTTTTCATTCCAAAAGTTAATACTTTGTAGTCTCAACTACAGATGAGATGAGGCCCTATACACTGGATGCAAACAAAATTAGGACTTGGATTTTCCAAGCAGAACATACCACTTATAGAAATTTCTTTTTATAAGATTAAGATTTTCATTTATCACATTTGCTTAAATCACAGTAAGCCTATAAACCATTACCATTTTTAAAAAAAACCTCCTTAACTGAGATTTAGCTTGCTGTATTTATGGTTTCGTCATATGCTGCTGGGAATGTCTAATCTAAAATACTCAGAAGAGGTCTATTCCCCCTACCCACACCATATCTGATATTCACCAATAGAAACCAGTTCATCGGTTATCTCTTAGTAACCATCATTTGATTGAGTTCCTATGACAGGAACAAAAAACTTAAAACTTTGGTTATTTTTTATATGGGAACCACATCTATTGTTAATTTATCTCCACTGCTCTTAATAATACATTTCAGGGAAAATGTTTAGATTTGAGCTTCAAGTAAAGTTCCTAATCAGGAGGACACAGAGAACTAGTTACTGATGCTAATGAGCTTTTGACATCCCCCTGTCAAAAGCTACCTTTCCTGATTAGCCAGGGAGGGAACAGAAAGGGAAAGGAAGGGAGGAAAGAAGGAAGTACTGAGAGGCAGGAAGCAGAGAGCTGGGGCGGGAAGACATCTCCCAGAGACACAGTGACTTGTGGACTGTACAGAAAACCATAAACAATGCTCTTGAAATTCACAAAGAGAACAGCACCGACAATGCCATTCATCCCAGAGGAAATGGAATTAGAGGGAAATTATGTTTACTATTTCACATTTCTTAGAAAAATATTATTAAAACTTATGATTTAAAGCAGTCCCTCCCTCCCTACTTATTCTAACACTTAGCTATGAAGCAACGGCTTTTTAAAAAAGAAAAAAAATAAGGATTAAGAAAGGTCAAGTTTAGTTAAGTAAGAAGTCTAGTATGTAAGAAACCAGAAAGCAGAACAGTGCCCAACACAGAGACGGACGACTGGAGCCCAGGGATGGCGCAGGGCTGCCATCAGCTATGTGAGGGAAACGCCCAGACACTCTACTTCTCTCCAACGTATAATTTTTGCTTCATAGAAAGAACTGCTGAAATCTAAGACTCACTTATTGAGTCATTTAAAGGAAATGCTGCCGACTGTGCCCACAGACACGATATTTATAAAGCAAATAAAGAGTGCAAGTAAACTTCAAGATTGTATTTGGGAGAACCATGTGTCTATCCCAGGGGGTGAGTGTGGTTCAGAACGCAGGCCGCTGCCACCCTGAGGTTCAGCCTGCATGCTGACAGTGTTAAAATACAGAGTTCCTGCAAATTCTCATTAATTATGTCAACCAATTTGAACGCATCAAGAGAAAATTTTACCAACAATATAACAAGGTATGTATTTACATTTTCATTTGCATCTTAAGGAGAAATCGTTAATAATGATGATGATTATGGAAAACAAGATTAAAAGTGTATTCATTTGGGGAAAAGCTACATCAATAGGATTCATCCAACCACGAACACTCCTATAATGAAGGCAATACTACAAAACAATTCACAGCTTTATAAAAAGGTGATACACCTATGCAGAGTTTCACTAAATTTTTTTTCCATTAAAAAGAGTTCAATTACTCTAAAATCTGTAAAATATATAAAATACCAAGATTATCAACAGTCACAAATGTTTTGAAGTCAGTGGACACATGTATTTTCTTAAGTTGGGTTCCATGTGTGTAGAAGGTCTGTGAGGATTCCCCGGTGACAACATTCCACCACTGTTCAGAGAAAAATAAAATTCTCATTAGTCTGGTGCATGACAATTTGTAGTGCCAACCAGATTCTTTGCCCTATCTCCACCCTACTCCCAGACTCAAGCAAACAGTAGGAAATAAGACCAGGGTTTAATGTAAAACATACTGTATTCCCACCCCAGTCAGCCCTTCCTGACGAACCCGAGTGATGGCCTCACAGGCTACACCCTACTCCTCTGCCAGGTACGCAGAAGTGTGCAGGTGCCTGGGAGCTGCAGACACGACACCACCCAAGTCGTGGTGGTGGACTGAGCTCTGTGTGTCCTTCTCAATTGAAGGGACAGAAAATTCCTCCTCTCTTCACTCAAACACCCCTTTGCAGACACGGACTATATTCTGACAGGACCCAAACCATCATAATAGAAGCTACAGGACAAATGTTCCCTCCACTGACTCTTCCCCTTCACCAGGAGTGATTCCAGTTTCTTCATGAAACAGTCTATATATTTATTTCCTAAATAAATACTGAACATCTCAAATGTAGCAGGCGCTCTAGCTAAGTCTCTCCTTTCCTTCCCAATCACTGAATTTGCTAAGATTATGATATTTATGTTCATTTACCAAATGGAGATTACAAAGCTACCCATGTATCTCAAACTAAAATGAGGGCGAGAGACAACGCACACAAACACCTTGAAAAGCCCCTGGGTACATCAAGATTCTGAGTATCAGGAACATAAGAATGGCATCACTCACCTTTGTGGCCACTGTAAGCCTAGCACTCTGCCTTACAACGTGGCAGGGTCAACTAATCGAGCTTACTGTGAGTAACAGTAACTGGTGAAGGTATGTCCCATGGACTTCAGTAAACCTCACCAAAGCAGCATGAACTGAATTTGAGATCTTCCAGAACTGACAAAGCTTGCTTTGTAAAATAACAGTGTGATCAAGGTTGCAGAGGACACAGTCTACCAACCCGAGAGAAGACTGTTTTCAGCCACTAAGGCCTTTAGAGATTTCCCAGTCCAACCACCTCATTTTACAAATAAGGAAACTAAGATTCTCAGAGAAAAGACTCGTGGCTCGAGAAAACACTGCTCGCAGGTGGCAGAGGCGGAGAAGTTCTGGCTTCCGAATCAGTGCTCTCCCTTCCTTTCCTTCTATTAAAACAGACCACTGTACCTGCTATATCAGCCAATCTGAATATGGACTAAAAATCAGTATTCCAATAGCAGCCAGTACAGAGGGTTTTAGGGTAGTGAGCCTACTTTGTTTGGTACTATGATGGTACATACACGTCATTATGGATTTGTCCAAACTCAAAGAATGAGAACACCAAGAATGGACCCTAATACAAGCTACGGACTTTGGGAGATAATGATGTGTCCATGTAGGTCCATCAGTTGTAACTAATGTATGACTCTGGTGGGGGATACTGTTACTGGGGGAAGCTGTGTACCTGTGGAGGCTGGGTGAATACCTCTCCCTAAGAGCTGGGTATTGTTATTATACACATTTTAGAGATAAGAAAATGAGGCACAGAGAGGTTAAACAATCCTGTGCAAAATCACAAAGCTAAGGAGTGGCAGAGCCAAACGCTGAGGTCAGGCAAGGTGCCCCAAGGTCCACTCTCCTGACCATGATGATCTGATGTCTTTAAGTCATGATGCTCCACCATGGATCATCATGGATTCCTTATTTCAAATCAGCTTTTCCCTTCCTGAGTATGAATTCACGTGAACATCTTGTCATTCTAACAGTATTTGCCTAGTGACACAACACAGATGAACAGCTAAATTATTTTTTCAGTCATAAAAGAGGAATAATGTTGAAAATTAAGAACTTTTTATCTACTGGATATGTACTTTATCTTACTGACACTCAATTTATACAGCTTGGATTCTACAGTAAACAGACTCAAAAGGCCTATTTTTTTGGACACTACAGCAGCTGTTTCCTTTTTACTTTTAATTTGCTCTGTGCTTTTGGATAGTCTCATTAACATGCTGGATAGATGCGGGCTGGGCTGTATCGTAATCAGTGTAACCGCGCTGGTAATCAAACCAGCCTGATTGTTACTTAAATATACAGACTAAATATACAGGCTATTGGTTCTTTCACCCTTAAGACATAACCTCTACAGCGTGAGTATCTATTCTGCTGCTTGATTTCAAGGTTCACTAAGAACTCTGCAAATCTAGTCACTGATCTTTATATAACATCTGATACGCCAGACTCTCAATTAGGTGACAGCATTCTGTGGGGCTCAGGGAATCAAATGGCATGGTCTCCAGAAACCTGGTGTCAAAGCTGAGCAGTTAAGTTTTTCAGGAGCCAGCAAAGGAGTTTTCAGAATCCCAGCTCCTAACACAGACAGCAGTGTCTCTGCTCCCGGCATCACACTCACAGCAAAGAGTGCCATGTTTGTCTTGCACTAAAGAAGAGCAAGTAGTGATTGTGTCTCAGGATCCCCTAACAATTAAGTAACAGTATGCCCCAAAGGTTAATCAATATTTTGTAAAGATAATTGTGTTTTCAATGCAACCAAGTAAAGGGATCATAATGTATGTCCTTTATAAAGAAACTCTTATTGACACGTATCAGCTGTACATATCTTAAGGATACGTGTGATATTCTGATACCTATTTACAATGTGTAATGATCAAATCAGGGTAAGTGGGATATCAATCGTCTCAAACATTTATCTTTTCACTGTTTTAGGAATGTTACAATTCTCTTCCGGCTATTTTGAAATATACAATAAATTACAGTTAAGTACAATTTCCCTACTGTACTATTAAATACCAGAACTTCCTCCTGCTATCTAACTATGTATTTTTACCCCTTAGTACATCCTTTCACAAAACTAAAAAGAGTCCTCTAAATAATTATTGTTTTTATAAGCTGTATTTTATGGTGAGTCAAACGGCAACTGCATGGATCTCATATAACCAAAACATCACTCAACTATTTCTGAACATCTACATGTGTTAGACAATTGATCAGAATCATCTCCTGCACGTGAATGTTTTCAGTAAGAAACGACAGTATCGTAAGATCTGATCAGGGATCTATTTTAAATAAACAAGCTTTCAATGCCCACGTGGTCAGTACAATATATGGTATTATGTTATATTTATATTCCCTTTACAAGTAAAACACTCTTCAGAAGACCCACCCCTCTGAAGCCTCTGCTGACTCCCCCCGGGAGGCCTGCTCACTGCTCTCTTTTGTGCCTCCACCATCCATGCAGATGTGTCCCAGACCCCTCCACTTCCAGGGCTTTCTTTGTTTACCATCTGCTTTCCCCATAAAGCCTAAACTGCCAGAGAGCAGGAATCTAGCCGTAAGCCTTGTGCCGCACAGCAGTTCTTAGCATACAGTGGGCATTCAACACACTCTTAGTGAACGGGCGGATGGACAGATGCAAGCCCCAAAAATGACCCTGAGGCATCACAATACATCCAAGCCTTGGCCTCAACAGTCTCTAGCCAGTTTGCTTGTGAGGAAACCATGGCAAAAGACAACCTGGGTTTGAGTCCTGGATCTTCTATTTACTAATTACGTAATTTTAGGAAAGTTGCCACCTCCGTGAAAATCAATTTCCTCATCTATAAACCACGGATAATAAAATTTAAGCCTCACAAAGCTGGCTAATGAGATGATGGAAGGAAAGCACTCTATAAACTATACAGCAATATGCTGCTGCTGTTACTAATATTGCGGAAGGAAGGAAATTTCACGAGTACTTTTTTAAAATTTCAACCAAAATAGGTAACAATGAGTGACGTGGAAACAGAATCCCTTGAAACACCCCACTTCCTGGTGATTCTGATGATCCACGTGCTGCATGGGGCAGTACGAGAACTCTGGACTGAGAGCATCCTTAACGCTGTCACCAAAACTTCGCGAGATCTGAGGAGAGCAGCCCTGCAGACCTCAGGCTCATCCCTGCAACACAGAGGTAACAGCAGCTGCTCTCCCACTCTGCTGGGCTGAAGCAGGCCCAGACGAGACAAAGGAAGTGAGAATAGCTTAGAAAGTATGATCGCACACATAGGATATTCTTCTCTTTCACAGTCCTTGAAGAACTCTTACCTTAAGATACCCGCCTGCGGAGACAAGCATTTTCCTGTCTGGAGAAAAGCAAAGGTCGGTCACCCAGCCTCCGTGGGTACTAGCTCCTTCCTCTGTAATCGGAGCACACAGACGGAGCAGAGCACCATTCGAGACATTCCATATCTACAGAAACATGAATCATAATTCATTAAGGGGTTACCCAAAAGTTTCTCTAGTTTTAAAATATATAATCTACATGTCGTCTGGGACATATTTAAAACTCTTCTTAAAAAAGCAAAGAACTACAGAAATTGATCAGAATACTGACTAATCCATTTAACTAAAAGAATGATGAGAGGTGCATGTAACACACAAAGGTCCTCAAAAAAGCTCAAAGAATTCTAGTCCAAAAACCGATTCCAAGAATGTTGACAGATGTCATTCAAACACCAAAAATATACACATTTTAAATAAGTCCCCATACAGTTCTAAATATATACATTCTAAGATTATTTCACTAGACTCTTATAAACAACTCAATCACAGATGCCAGTATCTCCATTTATTTCCAGGGAGACTTAATATATAAATATATAAGCAGCACTCTGATTTTTCAAACAAATGCACATCAGAAAAAGAAGAAACAAAAGCATAAATAGCAAGAAAATAATCAAAATTATCATTTGCAAATATCTCCCTAAAAAGTCTAAGAGAACCAGGGTGGTGCCTGTGGCTCAGTGAGTAGGGCGCCAGCCCCATATGCCAAGGGTGGCAGGTTCAAACCTAGCCCTGGCCAAACTGCAACAACAATAACAAAAAATAGCCAGGTGTTGTGGCGGGCACTGTAGTCCCAGCTACTCGGGAGGCTGAGGAAAGACAATTGCCTAAGCCCAGAAGTTGGAAGTTGCTGTGAGCTGTGACACCGCAGTACTCTACCAAGGGCAATAAACTGAGATGCTGTCTCTACCAAAAAAAAAAAAATCCAAGAGAACCAAATGGAAAGAGTTCAGTAAGATAGTTAGATATATATATGAAAACCAGCAGCTTTCTTCTATTTTATTTAAAAGATTTTTAATATACTAAGGAAAATTCTTTAAATAACACTAAAAGAGACAATTTTTTCCTGTCAGAGTTTCTGAAAAATGAAACACTGCCACATCACCAGTAAAGGAGCACTTTCATCCAAAGATAAGAACTCACAGCAAAAGGAAAGTTCCCAAAGCAGGCCTGACCTTTCAGCTCACACAGTATTTACGTGAATGGTATAGAGAAGATGCCTACTTAGTCCTCAAGGTTAATTTTGCTGTAAAGCCTATCTGATCACACCTCTATTCCTGCCACCTGCATTGTCCCTGTTCTTCTGCATTGCATATCTATACCCTGTAAAGAAAGAAAGAAAAGAAAAAGTACCTTCCTCATTCATAGAGGTCACCAAAGCAGTGATCTCAATACCCCCATTTTCCCACCCAGCTGCTCAGTTCTAACATAACCCAGCTGGCTGACTGCTTTTCCATGACTTCCAGTCCCTCAGCATGCAATCCGTCCCACGCTGCACAGATTCACAGACACGGAGAACAGCATTCCACGTCTCCCAGAAAGATTGTTCTCTAAGTAAAACTGGCATGGTTTAAAGACATGCCTCAAGCACTGCAGGGAACTAAAACTGTCCTATCAGGTAGGAAGCCCCTCACTGCCCATGATGACTGTGACCCTCTACACCGCAAAGCAGGACAGTCCAAAGAGGACTGCAGCAAACCACCCTGGAAATCACCAGTGCGTGGACATGGTGCTAAAGAGATCATTCCCTTCAGCACTGAAAACAGCAGAACGTGCAATTCATTTATAACCCAATGATTTATAAAATTATTTTTCTCAAATTCTGCCACTAAAAACCACCTTTGCTTCAATTCCAAGAATTACGATGAATCATTCTCATGCTAGCAGCAGAGAACCAACTGCAAATAACTAGGGCATGTGCCTCTTCACATATAGAGGAAAAGCATCACTAGCAAATGAAGGCTTCCCTGCAGCGGAGTGCAGCTGTGAATACAACACACACGAGAAACAAAACAAAGAGTGCCTCCTCCAGCCAGAACCCGGAGCCTGTGCTTCCCTGTCCCGCGAAAGATGGTCCCCACTGTGATGAAGAGCACTAGCCGAGCTGCAGAAGAGCAGTGTTTTCCCACCAGCAAACACCCTACCCTGATTTCTCCATTGTCGTCTCCGGTTGCCAGCAGGGTACTGTCCACAGAGAAGGCAGAGCAGCGCACACAGCCATTGTGGCCCCTCAACTCGTGGAGAGCGGAAGGAAGTTCAAAACTCCAAATCTGGAAGACAGTTAAGGCTGTTTAGAAATGGTAACTGCACTTGAAATAAGCATCTGTAAACCCTGCCTTAACGGCTTTTCAGCCATAAATTCAAACACATGGAAGTTCTAATATTTAACAGTTTATAAACTTTCATGAGATGCCCAAGCTCCAACCTGTAACCTTGTTAATTTTTCTGAGTTTGCCTTTAATTGCTCGAGTTAAATTCAGAAAGACTCAAGTCACTGCGTCCTTATCTTTGGCCTTGGAAGGAAGAACACTGGCCTGCCAGGGGCAGTATGTGGAGGGAAGCAGACCTGAGTTAGAGTCCCGGCCCCACTGCTCACTAGATCCTAGTGACCTACGACAACTCATATAACCTTCTCTAGCTGCAGTTTCTGCTTCTGTAAAATGGGGACATTAGTATCTATGGTATGAATATTAAATGAGATTATAGAAAGGGAAATTCCTAGCACATAGCAAGTGACCTTCAAAGGTTAGTCGATATACTAGCCTACCATGTTAGCAGCCAAATACTGTTCTTTTCATTCTAATATTTTCTCTCATGGTTTTGTCATCATCATTTAACAAACATGTACTGAAAACTGCCATGTTCCAGGCACTGTGAGCTAAGGAATAGGTGGTACAAAGATAACCTAGATACAGTCCTTACCCTTGAAAAATTCATAGTTTAATCAGGACTACAGGCCCATGAATGGTTAGTGAACAGCTGTATGAAGTAAATGCTCTCACAAACACGGATAAAATGTCATGGGAACACTGAAGGTGGAGTCGCCAACCCTGCCTGAAGGTCAGGAAAGGCTTCCCAGAAGAACTGACATCAAATCTAGGTCTAGAAGGATGAGTCATAATGCTTCACAGTAAAAAAGGAATCGAGTTGTGTCAAACCAAAGTAACAGGACACACAAAAAGATGAAGGCAGGAAGTAGGCTGCACAGAGGAGACACGCAGCAGAAAAGGAGGGTGATGAGCCCAGGAGCTGGCCCCTAAGCCAATGGGTGACAGGTGTTTCAACGGGACACACGGGCAGCAGTCTGGAAGATAAAGTGGGGCAGGCACAGAGCCACAGCTGGGATGTGGGGAGAGGACCCAAGTGATGGGGGCGGGGGGTGCAGTCCTCAGGGTAGAGACAAGAGGGAGGCGACAAATCCAAAGACGCTGAGAGCAACAAACACAGCAGGAAAGGCCAGAATTGGAAGGACAGGTACATAATACTACCATTAATAAAGATGGGGGGGGGGGGAAGAGAGCGTGAAGTACTCAGGGTCCCCAACCAAAGCAGCATCCTTCATGGGCATGTGATTTGCAGAAACATCAACTTACAGCGATTCTATAAAAAATTTACTGTGGGTATGTAATTAAATGTAAATCTGTTTCAATGATTTTTATTGCCTATACTATGCAGCAGAGATTCCACTTGATTAGTTAAAGATAAGAAGTAATCCTTAAGGGAGAAATCAGAAGTCCTCAGTGTCATTCATGTAATCTATTTGACACCAACTAAATGCCAATAGGCATCCTTTAAAAGCTCATAAAATATGAGACCGAGACAGAGATGGAGACAGCAACTGTTACTGTTTTGTTTTACATATGATTTGGACTCATGATCCATAACCAATATCAGTTTAGTGCATGGATATTTCAATGACTTGACATACCTTTGCAGTCTTATCAGCAGAGGTAGACGAAAACTTGGTCACATCAAGAGAAATATCACAAGAAAGCACTGTACCCTGATGACAGGCAAAGTCTTTTTCCATTCTTCCAGTAATAATACTCCACACCTTAAAAAAAAGAAAGCAAAACCCCAAAGCTGCCACTTTAAAGAACATTTTGTATTAAAAAGCACAATCAACTATAAGACTATAGAAACAAGAGCTCGAGCACACTAGTTATTCTAACCTCCTTACTATGAGTTCTGTTAGTATAAAGGCTCACAAACACACGGCAGATGTAGATGACTGTGGTGAACAAAAAACAGGCATAAGAAAATAAAAAGTTTTTAATTACTTGACATCCATATGCTTTTGGCTGCCAAAACATAATCATTGCAATATCAGAATTCTTTTTAGAAAATGAACCTGTGCTTCAAATTACCTTCACTGTTCCATCAAATGACCAAGAAAGCAATCTTGAATCTTCCAGGAGCCTGAAGTCTTTCACTGTTTCCTGATGGGCTTGCAGAAAGACATACTCCTCTGACTGCCAGTTCCACACCTGAAAGTCAAGGTAGTAAGTCTGTTACAACCTTCCCCCACACTGTCCTATCGGAGGAAGACAGTGAATGTGTACTTTCTTGTCTGAAGTCTTTCATTCTCATGACATTTCAGTAAAACAAAGAAGAGTAACAAAGATTACAGTGTCCTGCATTTTACAGTCAGAGAAAAGCTGGGGTTAATTAACTTGACTAGGGGCAAAATAAAATAGTTTTCCTCCTAAATAAAATTTGTTTTCTTCAGTTGCTTAGAGAACAGTTAATTATACCAGAAGACAGACAAAAGCCACAATATGCCAAGTGAGCTCACCATCTGATTAGATTTTCTAGAGGAAATTATCCCAATTACATATTCACAGATTTCTTAACCTACAAACTGGGCAAGTCTGCAGACTCTGGCTCCACTGAAACTGGCCCCATTGCCCAGGAAGTCAGCTGATCAAACCAGGTCATAGCATTTCTAAGTTTCAGAGGTCTCAGCTAAACCCTAACGCAATCCTCAAAATGACAAAAGAAACTACAAGGCATTATTCTTCACACGGAGTTTCAGGAAGAGCCATTCAGACACAGGGAAGGAGGGGGAAATTGAAAGAGCACAAGGAACTGGCCAAAAGCAACCATATAAACATATCTGAGGCACAGACGTAAGCAAAACAAAAGTCTACTTCTATGCCACGTCCATGTAAAGAACATCTCTTAAATATTAAGTCAAAGAGCAACTGTATTTACAGCCTTGTTAATTTATGACTTAAAATTAACTTATATAACAAAAGTTTATTTAGCACCTATATGTGAGGCAAACAGAATCAAACAAGGACCTGTCATAAAGAAATCTAGGAGTTGAGCAAAGATAATGGGACATACAACCAAAAAAAAAAAAAAGAAAGAAAGAAAGAAAGAAAAGGAAAGCCAAAACTCCTACAACAGAAGCTATAATGACAGATGTAAAAGTTCTGTGGGACTCACAAAAGCAATTCCTTACAGAAGATTTGGAGGAGACAGTGCATGCACAGTAGGTTGTGGGATTAGGTGGAAGTATGATTCACAAACTGAGGAGGGCTTTTCAAAGGGACTGAGTGCTGGATTTAAAGTACAGGAGAAAAATAGCCTGAAAAGATCCTAGGGACCTGCTTATGGTGAGTTTGGCTAGAGCACAGGTTACACAGAAGGACTGGCAGTGAAAAACAGCGCACAGGTATTCAAGAAACATCCCAGCAGGCCCAAAGAAATGAAACTTCTCAGGTGTGGGCAATCAGGCAGGCTCCAAAAGAATAAACAGATTTTTAAAAATCAGCCACAACCACAGGTCTGCACATCAGCAGCTTCTGGGTCTAGTTTTTGAGCGATGAATGTTAAACAGTAGAACTGTCTGTAAGCCTTTTCCCGTCAACTTAGGCAAAATGGTAAGAGAAATGACATCTCTTCCTCCCCTTTCTTTACTCCTTTAGCCACTGCATTCGGCAGCCGCCCTCTCCGCCCAGCTGTGGCTCTCTCTGGTCTCTCCACAGCTCCCGTCTTGAAATGCTCACTCACAGAAGCAGATAGCAAGAGTAGGGGATCCTGTACATGAATAAGGGGACTTTAGAAGCGAAAGTGGAGGTAAGAATAACGCCAAAGAGAATGAAATCAGGAACTCCAGCATTTTAAGAACCCGATGCCAACCCTGGCTGTGCCGGATTCAACACTCTCCCGACTCAGCTCCTCAGAGCTGCCCTCCACATGACAAGTCAGAGAGCCTTCCTGAGCAGGTGCAACAAAGAACCTGACGATCACTGGCAGGAGATTAAGAGTAGTCTTCACAGTTTTTATTAAGGAAGCTTTCTCACAAAGCAGTCGTGACAGTGACACTTTTTTGTTGGGCCTACACACACTGTGCTAACTGGATCACCCTGATCTAACGGCTAAACTCTCACCAGCATTAGTCAATATAATACAGTTGAGTCTGGGGATGTTTCTACCATTAGCTATAATTTTTGCAATGTATATATACTGTAGAATTTTTTCAGCTATACGAATAAAATTTAAATTTTAAAAATGTTAAAGAAACACACCAGTAAGAACCAATATAGTCCGATCTATTGCCTCAGGTGAGCATGGCTAATACGTGGCTTTATTGATCTCAAGGACCCAAAACAGCCAAGGTAGACCTCAGTTTTCACAACTCTAAAATGCTATAATCAGGTGAGTTGATTCTTCCAATTTTAGCAATAACGTCAGCTCAAAGATTTACTAAAACTCTACCACATGCCAGGCACTGGGAATACAAAGATGCTCAAAACAAATCTCCATTTAGACATTTACAAAAACACTGAAAAACTAAACAAAACCCAGCCGGTCATTTCTTGGAAATACCTACCATGAGTTCTGTTACAAAAACGTATATTCATTAAAACGCTGTAAATGTAAAAAGTATTCTGAGCAGAACAAAAAAAGAGGATAAAACACAATTCTTATTTCTAAAAATAATCTAACTCCTATTCTAAAAATATTTCTGGAAATGATTTCTCCCTTTAGCTGAGAATATCCAAAGTCTTCAAGCAGAGGTCATAAAACCTCACAAATTGAGTTTTTGAAAGACTATATGGCAGGCACACAGTGTCTCCACTGAATTTCATCAGATGTAGTTTAGTTTTACCCATTTCAAAGACATCTGGAAAGAAACGAAGGTGACTATCATACCAACTTTCACAGCTAATACAACAGTACCATGGAAGCCTGTAATCGATACATTTCCGTACAGAACCCCAATTTCATCCCAATTATACATGGGACTCACAAAGATATAACATAAAAAGATACTTTTTCCAAAATAATTTTTAATAATGTACTGAATTAAATATTACCACCATAAGAAATATATATAGACACATATATACTAAATAAAAGAATATAGTAATTTCCTTGGAACATATGCATTTACCTCTTTTTCTTCTAAAACCCTACTAAAATGGCAAAGTCAAAGAATAGAAGGGGTTAGATAACAAAATGCTGGAGGCTGGGAAGCAGGAAAACAGTAATCAACTCAGCAGAACCAAGAAAACAGACTCCTAAAAGCACTAGAAAAAGCCAAAATCAACAAAACTGAAGCATCACAAAAATGGAGAAGCATAAACCCTATGTATTCAATTTTGATATGAGGACAATTAATTACCTAGTATACGGTGGGGGGGGGTAGGGGAAGGGAAGAGCAGAGAGAAAGAGAGTGAAAGAGGGATGGGAGTGGGGGAAAGAAAGAACAGAGAGAGGGAAGGAGGGAGGGGGTGGGGTCTCAGTGTATGACATACATTTTGGGGGCAAGACAATTGTAAGAGGGACTTTACCTAACAAATGCAATCAGTGTAACCTGGTTTCTTGTACCCTCAGTGAATCCCCAACAACAACAATAAAAAATTGGCACTAAGTACTCCCAGAAGGTTCAGAAACTGCAGGCACTAGGTCCGTGCATATATGAAAATGGGAATGAGGGTAGAGCTAAGAACAGAAGTTTTAGGAACTCTAGGAAGACAGCAGAAGTGCGAGCACAGGTTTTTAGACTCCCTGCAGCTCATCATTATACGTAGACAAAGCAACTGGAATAGCAAAACCAGAAATTCAGACAACATCAACAAGGTCATTTAGGTGACAAAGTATGCCCACAAACCCCAAGACACAAGCAGATGGGGACAGACTGAGGCCTGCAGATCCTGCATGATAACAGCATCCACATAGAACGAAGCAGAGAACCCCAAATGGCTTCACGGCATTCACTGTTTGGGGGAGGGAGGGTGCTGGGTACAGTCTGGGAGATCTAGAGCAGTCTGGGCCCTGAGAGCTGTCAGAATTAACCAGGACAACCCTAAGACCAGGAGAAAACATAAAGAATAGAATCCAAAGTGCGCAAAACATGGATAACGGCAGCAAAGGAAAGACAAGGTCCAAAACAGCGAGCGACGGGCACAGAGCAAAGAACAAGACCATATTTCTAATGCCTCATGAAAGCAACCGAAGAAGGGGCTGCAGAGTTGTGAAACTAGAAATGTGGAGCCTTCTCATTCCTCCCAAGAGTTCAGAAAAACTGATTTCACGTAAAAAAAGATTTTTTGCTGAATTCCAAACCAAGTTTTTATGAAAAAAAGGAATGAAAGTAGAGAGCAATGCCCCTTCAGACAGTGGAAGCAAACCAGAAAGAAGAGGACCTGGGCTAAGGGGCACGGCACAGCTGAAGCAGAGACCGGGGCATCAAGGGAGGGTCTCTAACTGAACGCTGAGATCAGCATCTACCCCAGTTCTCCTCCCCCACTGAGTTCTGAGAACCTGTCAGCCAGATTTACTCTCCACACAGAGGAACGGCAGATTCTCCTCTAGGAATCTGAGGACACAAAGATGCAGTACCTAACACACTGACAACACAGGTTCCCTATCCAGAGCACCTTTCAGGGAAGGCCTCCGCCCCCACACAGAGCTTTCTGTCCATCACGTAGTGTTGTCTCTGGCCGGTGATCTCCACACAGCAAGGAGACCCTTAAAGTAAGAGGCCAAAACACCCAAACAGAAAAAACAGGAAAAAGCAACCTAGGGGGAACAGCAACTACGCAGGAAAATAAAAATGAGGGTGAAGATTTCTACATAGATGTGTATGTCTATAAATAAATTATGTATATGTATGCGCATACAGAAGGTTTCTACAAAACAAGAACACTGCTCTTCAAAAGGAATACACAATTCAAGTGGACTTTTCTGTCATTACAAACACAATGGGAAAAATATAAAACTCAATACAAGAGCTGGAAGGTAAAAGCAAAGAAAACTGACAGAAAATAAAGCACAGCATAGAAAGATTAAGTGTGAAAAAATAAAATATACTCTCTTCACATGAGCAGACGAATGATAGGTAGATAAGATAGACAGATAAGAAAAATAGATGATGAGTCCAGGAGATGGAACATCTGAATAACGGGTATTACAGACAAAGAAAGCAAACTGGACCAAAAAATTCAAGAAATAATTCAAGTAAACATGCTTAAATTAGAAATTTCCAAATTCTGGGGACAAAGTAAAGATTCCAAAATTTTCCAGAGAGAAAGACCAGGAAGCAGAATAGCTTCAGATGTTTGAACATGAACTTTGGAACTTGGAAGAAAAGGGAGCAATGTCTTCAAATATCCAACTACACCCGAAGGGTAAAATAACATCCAAGTACACCCAAAGGTCACATTTTCCTAAACTGCTTTAAGACAGGGGACACATTCAGAGTACCCTTAATACACATACTCGTAATAACGACAACAAGGGTGTAGACAACATTTTGCTGTAACTATACTGGGGTGATGGGGATTGATAAATGGCTGCGTGCGTATGTGCATGTACTGAAGGTAAGACAGGTGGGAGGAGGAAGAGAGCTAAACCCTCATCTTGCTGTAGGGAAGTCAATAGATAATTCCTCAAATGGGAAAACCCAGAACAGCACGATAAGCATACCATATGGAGGCATGAAGGTAAATACCAAAAGAAACATCTGAAAGTTACAAGTGCTTCGGGAGAATGGGAATGGAGGAAGGGGTCTATTTTTCATAATAAGCCTTACAACACTGTTTGAATTTTAAGAGGATGTGCATTGGAACTTTAAGAAAAATCAACTAAGTTTAAAAAAAATATATAGCTTAAGGTCTCCATATCTACAAGCCTTCATTATAGTAAACTCTTATTTTTTCACAGGATTTTATTCCCATAACAAACTTGTTCTTAATAGAATGAAATCGTCTCTATCAGATTTCACGACTGTAAAGAAAAATAAAAAGAAATTATATAAATGTGGCAAAAAGTATACTTATTAATACAAATCCGAATAGCAAGGCAGGTAGGAAAATTCAAACAATCTCTTGGTTATTAAAATAAACAACCTACCAGTAGAGGGTTCTTGTCAAATTGCCTATTTCACACTCAGAAAAATATGGAACACCAATGGATTTCATCTAAGCCCATGTACGTAATATGAATGTATGCCCAAAGGAATATGTTTAAGATGCACACCAGGTTTTAGTCATAATAGAAGTATTCCTTTGAGTCAGCATTACATGTGTTACGGTAGGAATTCATCCTCCTCTCACCTGAATCACAGAATCATCAGAACTTGAAATAAGAGTCTTCCCATCGGCTGTGAACTGGATATGCCGTACAGCTTTCTTGTGCCCAATTCTGGACTGGAAGATTTTGTTGTTCAGAAGTTCTAAAATCTTCAAAGTAGAAAACCACAGAAAATTAATACAAAGAAATTAAGCAACACTGTAATTATTACACCCCAGAGATCTTAAACTAAAATTAGACTTCAGAAAAGTATAGAATTTCCATCTTGTGCTTCCAGTTTAACTATGAATGGCGCACAAATGAATGGTACACACAAACACACATGTGAACACACACGGAAACACACACACGCCCAAAATAAAACACCCACTGCCACGACCAGATGGCAGTAGGAACCAGTGCTCCTTCTGAGTACTCAACTACCCAACTCATCAAACAGATGGCTCGGCCTCCAAAAAGAAAACGATGTTTAAGATGGATAAGGGAGAAGAAAGAAAAAAGATCCTAAATGAAAAAAGGTAAGCTCTTAATAAAACACAGAAACAAAGATAAAAGGCTGAAGAGGAGGACTGGTAAAGGAAAAGAGAGGACGAGAAGGCTGAGGGGAAGTGCAATAGACTTAGGAGGGCCAGAAATGAAAAGGGCAAATGCAGAGAATTAAGAAAGCAGTAACAAAAACTCAAAAACTATGTAAAAGGCTTTCAAATGAACTCTTAGCAAGCAAAAAAAAGGTAAATGTTTCTTGCCCAAATTAAAATTGTCTTTCCTGACAAAGAGGAAAAATATTTTTAGCCAACATGATTTTAAGGTAGCATGGCACTCCTGTAGTCCCAGCTCAGGAGGCTAAAATAGCAGGATTGCTTTAGCCCAAGTTTGAGCCTGCAGTGAGCTATGATCCAGCCACTGCACTCCAGCCTGGACAATAGAGTGATATCTCATCTCTTTAAAAAAAAGAAGGCCGGGCACAGTGACTCATGCCTATAATCCTAGCACTCTAGGAGGTTGAGGCAGGTGGATTGCTTGAGCTCAGGAGTTTGAGCAAGCACCTAGACCCAGTCTCTACTGAAAAATTAGCCAAGCTCTATGGTGGGTGCCTGTAATCCAAGCTAGTCAGGAGGCTGAGGCAAGAGGTTCTCTTAAGCCCAAGACTTTGAGGTTGCTGTGAGCTATGATGCCATGGCACTCTACCCAGGACAACAGAGTGAGATTCTGTCTCCAAAAATAAAGACTGAAACAAATGATTTTTATTATACTACATTCTTTGCCTTATGACCTGATTCTATTTTTACTTATTTGGTCTTGCTGAATAGGCTTTCAGGTGAGCTGATATGCTTCTAACACCAGAAGCAGAACAGCCAGGGTTGGCAGAGCAGGCAAGCATAGTTGGCCCTGCTGATACTCCCAATGGGCCTTATCAAGACCAAAATGGAAACAACTTACACCCCACCTGACTGGGCTTCCACGAGAAGGAAGAAAAAAGGCTCTTTGCATAGTTAGCTAAATCCGATGATGCCTATTATGTGGAAAACAGCAAGAAAACTAGACAGAGCATAAAGATGACAAAACGTACGAGGAACAGTAATAAAGGCAATCTGAAAAATATACAACCAACTGCATATGATGATTTTTAGTCTGACAGAACAATGACAAATCACTCATAGAAGGATTTGTTTATTGTGTAAGTGTACAATGGCAGATATAGGGTTCATTTTAATAAATAATTCTACTCCACAGAAAGATTCTGAACCCTAGAACCGAATACCTGAATGGCTCCATCTTCATCTCCAAGGGCAACATACTGATGATGCGGGCTTAAGCAACAGCAACTCACTTGAGCTTCAGTCAGATAATCAATCTGACCTGTCTTTCCATTAATGAGCTAATGAAAAATGAGGCGCAATCAGTTATGAGGCTGTACGAGTAGCTTTTGTTCTTCAGAACAGAGGCTTCAATTCAAAAAAACACAATAAAACATAGAAAATAACCAACAAGAGCTCCCAGGGGAACAACAAAGCCATACCCTAGTCTCAGCAGCTGCCTCGGGTACTTCATGCTTTCATTTCATTTCACTTAGGTGGTTCAAATACATTTTCATAAAATAAAACAAGCTTTAAAAGGTTTAAAAGCAGCTGCTGTGCCCACCACCTGAGACACATCTGTCTGATTTGTAACCCCACCGCTAGCTCCACACCCTGTTTTCCATTTCTTCACAAAGCTCATTTCTAATAAGGCCAGGGCTTCGTAAAATGCATTTTTCTGACTTTTTTCCAAGGGAGTTGGTGCAGTGAGACTGAGACAAACATAAGAAGATAAATCCAAATTAAGATGGGTTTTATATCCTCCAAATCACCCACAAAACAATGTAAATGAAGATTCTTTCCCTTTTGGAGGTTAGTGAGGGGATATTAAAACATTGGTTAAGGCTCGGTGCCTGTGGCTCAAGCAGCTAGGGTGCCAGCCACATACACCTAAGGTGGTGGGTTCGAATCCCCAGCCCGGGCCTGCCAAACAACAATGATGGCTGCAACCAAAAAAAAAAATGGCCAGGCGTTGTGGCGGGCGCCTGTAGTCCCAGCTGCTTGGGAGGCTGAGGCAGGAGACTGGCTTGAGCCCAGGAGTTGGAGGTTGCTGTGAGCGTGATGCCATGGCACTCTACCCAGGGGGATAGCTTGAGGTTCCGTCTCAAAAAAAAAAAAAAAAAAAAACATTGGTGAAGAACCCATAAGCATCATTTGCTTGGCTGGGCTGACAATGCTTAAACTCAATTTCATAATCTTGAACCACTACTAATGATCATTTTTTTAAATCTCATGAATAAAAATGTCTTCTCACTCAGTGAAAATATGTGACCTAGGCACTGGCCCCATATGACAGAGGTGTCAGGTACAAACCCAGCCCCGGCCAAAAAAAAAAAAAAAAGATGTTAAAAACTTAATTCTGTAATTGGGTAAATGAGGTGAAGGCTATGTTGATTAGTAGGATGTAAGCACTCCAATTTGTACAAATAATCAACACACTGAATCCCATAATGGTATGAATGTATTTATGATCTATGTACAAATGACTTAATAAAAAAAAGTGACCTAAATAAATATTTCTCAAGAATATATCAATTGCCAAATACCTCTCTTAGTATCATAACCAAAAAAATCTTGAATTATTTTTCAACATGAAATAGGCAGTTATTTTTGTTTCAGGTATGAAGTTAGAGGGTCAACAACCACAAAAATCAATTTTAAGGGCTCTTTTAAGTAGTAACTAAAAAATGTTTTGTTCACTTAAATGAAACTATTGGTCAGTGTAACTATTCTCTAACTCTCCCACAACCACTGACATAGAATAAAATGATACTTCTATAGTCAGATAACTTTTTTAAGTCTAACAGTTACGGTAACTCTGTAAGGAAGGTTGCACGACTTTCTTTTCTCTAGGAAAGAAAATACAAGCACGAAGACACTGACTTTGACAAGAAAACTGTAGTGGAAAATATTCCAAGGGAAGAATCAGCTTGCTAAAGACAAGTTACTAAGTATTCACCTTCAATTCCACATTCCAACTCATCCCAGAAATACAGGGCATTAGAAGTTCCTAATCAACACATTGGGGATAATAAGAAAACTTGCAAAACGCTGAAGAGGCCCTACTCAGGGGTGTGTTGTAGCCTCTGGCCCCCGCCTCAGATGAGAAGTAAACAATTTACTCCCAGGAATCTTTCTCCTGTAGACCCTATAACCAGCACAGACTTTTGAACATAAAAAGGACTTTACAGGTAAAGAGACCAAGGATCAGCAGTGATGCAATTTACTCAACATCACAAAACCAGATGAGGATAAAGTCTGAACTTGCACCTAGGTCTCCTGAGTGAAAAGTCACTATTCTCTCCACCCTATCAAGCTGAGCCCTGTGTCTTTACAATGTGCTAGGCTCTGTCCTACCCTCTGTCTCAATCCCTTGCTACCTCTCAGAGCTCCCGCGTGCATGCTCTATTTCCATCTCGTCTTCTCTATCTGCTCCTCTCTCTCTCCAGCTCTCCTTCACTGTCTCATCTCATTCTCCCTCACGATTTTCATGGAGAATGCTCCCTATCTTTCAATACCCAAACCAAGGAAAATCAAATGCAAAAAGGGCATCAGATCACATTATCAGTGCTAAAACTTTTTTCCAAAAATTAATAAAGCCCTTCTAAAACCTATTTGGAAAAAATTGAACTCCGGCTCAGCGCCTATAGCTCAACCGGCTAAGGCGCCAGCCACGTACACCTAAGGTGGCGTGTCCGAATCCCCAGCCCGGACCCGCCAAACAACAATGACGGCTGCAACCAAAAGAATAGCCGGGCGTTGTGGCGGGCGCCTGTGGTCCCAGCTACTTGGGAGGCGGAGGCAGGAGACTTGCTTGAGCCCAGGAGTTGGAGGTTGCTGTGAGCTGTAATGCCATGGCCCTCTACCCAGGGGGACAGCTTGAGGCTCTGTCTCAAAAAAAAAAAAAATGAACTCCAGTTGTATTCATGCTCTTAAAGGCTAGTGAAAGGTCCTAAATAAAAAATATACTATGAGAAAACAGACCACAGGCTCATTAGACCTCCCTTATGAGGGGGGTTCTGTCCTTTCCAAACCTGTTTCTCAGGGATCCCTGAGGGCGAGGCAGAACATCATACTGGTTCGCATACAAGCCAGGCCAACGCCAGACCTTCTATGGCCACTGCTCTTATCACCTCTCTCGGCCACAGGTTTCTGTTACTCAGCTCCATATGCTGAGACCTGCTAATATGGTCCATACCCAGCTGTTCTGCCTGGGCTGGCCATGCAAGCAGGCTCTAGTGTTTGAGCTTCCATGAGGTATTTGCTTTCTCTTCCCCTGTGTAAAAATGCCTCAATTGCTATGCTCATTTCCCTTGCACACTCCGTTGGACATGTCCAGACCCCTCTTGTGGAGAAGTTCAAATTTGTCCTCATTGATTCCTAACCTCCATGTAAATCAAGGAGTGTGATCACAGATTCCAACAGGAGAAGAGTGAAGTTTCACCTTACTGAATTCTAAATAGAGGCATATCTGAGTCTTTGCCCAAGACCTCTACGTTTACTCACTAATGTCTACGAAGCATCTGTTGGATGCTGTACAATTGGTTTTGATCCCAAGTTCAAAAACAAACCAGAGAAACTGTGAATTGAGAGTTCATCTACAACAATTTTTCCAACTGTTTTCTTAAAAGTACTCACTTGTAGACGTCTTTTATTGTCAACTGCAAGAACCATCACTTCATTTTCTTGAAACACAACATCTACTTCTTGCTTTAACACTATATCGTAGTTCTTACAGACTTTCTTTGTCTCCCAGAGCTGATTAAGAGATAAGAGAAACAACCAGTTCATCCTCTGAAATAAGGTAAAGACAAGTCTTCCTCTTAAAGCAAGATACAAACCGCTTCACAATTAAAATATCTTTGATGCCAGAAATTTTTCGCTAGCTTAGAATCCAACAATAAGCATTTATTAACATTAATCTATAGTAAAATGCAGTTAGTATGAAGAGCTCTAGAACCAAAATACTTCAGGGAGAATTCTAGTAGCAACTGAAGTTGTGACTTGGGGCAGGTTACTTCGCCTAGCGCTTGCTACTCAAAGATGCTGGTTCTCAAATTGTATGATACCGATCCACAAGATAAAAAACCTGCACCAGAATGTTAAACCCATTATATCACTAGTCATGCAGTAAACCGTGTATTCAGCGATGCAGCTTATTTTTTTCTTTAACAAGACTTTCTTGATGAAGAAAGCAGTGCATTGATTTATATCCTGGCTCAAGGTCATTGACCCTGGCACCTTACGCAGCACTGGCCTTTCCCAGCTTTCCTCTGCCTCACCTTTGCCTGCCTGTTTCCTCAGCTGCAAAAAGGACTGTTGTGGGAATTAGCAAATTAATACATACACAGTACTTTGCGCATTATTTGGCATGTAGTAAGCACTAGATAAACTTTAGACACAATGAGTATAAAATGCTGTATTAGATATTACAGGGACCAACTCGGGTCCCTGGTCCCAAAGAGTTTATAATCTATGAGGTGTGAATAAGTCAGGGGAGCTGATGAGTATTGGAGGTGAGGAGTAAATCAACTCTGTATTTGAATTCAACTCAGAATTTGATAAGCACCATTAGAAAACGACCAAAATATTATATGGCATTAAGAGAGACAGACATTCCCCCAAATGAGGAAGGCTTCAGGCTGTGTGTAGGCTAGTTAGGATTTCAACAAGGAAGGATGTGGGGAAGTAGGGTATTCCAGACAGGATAAACACTTAAGGAAGCAGGAAGGAAGCGCAGGGTGTCTAGGGAATACAAGCGTCCGGTGTAGGTTCCCTATAGGAACAAACTGGTAGACAGACTTTAGCAGAATGAGCCACGCTGTGGAGAAGCTTAAAGGTAGGCCCAAAAGTGTATCTCTACTCTGGCAAACAAGGGAGCCTCTACCTGTTTTTGAGTAAAAATGACATGACTGTATTGTACATGAAGAAAGTATCTTGGAAGCAGCGTGCAGAAAAGCACGAAAGAAGACTTGTGGCAGAGAGGCAGCAGGTAGAGAAGACCTGAACTGGGAAGCAGGAACGAAAAAGGAGAGATAAATGATGAAAATTAAAAGGATGAATCGATTAGAACTGGCAACTAATTAGATATGGAAATTCAAGGTAAAGGAAACAGTCAAAAATTACTAGCTCAGTGCCTGTAGCTCAGCTGCTATGGCGCCAGCCACATACACCAGAGCTGATGGGTTCAAACCCAGCCTGCGCCTGCCAAATAACCATGACAACTACAACCAAAAAACAGCCAGGTGCTGTGGCGGGCACTTGTAGTCCCAGCTACTTGGGAGGCTGAGGCAAGAGAATCTCCTGAGCCCAGGAGTTGGAGGTTGCCGTGAGCTGTGACGCCACAGCACTCTACTGAGGGTGACATAGTAAAACTCTGTCTCCAAAAAAAAAAAAAAATTACTGAGGAATCAAATGCAATCTATTTAAATTAGCCAAAATACACTTTAATCATTGGACTCCCCACAGCACTGGCCCCAGGGTAGTGCTCAGTGAACATGTAGTGAATGAGACTGGTACTGTCCATAATGGCACTCCTCCAGGGTGAATATGAATCTAGCAGTTTCCTGTTTTACTTTCCTCAATGCTATCCATCAATTTCTTAGTTTGTAGGAGGTTTAGCTCACCATCAGTAAATGTTTAAAATGAAAGTATTTCTCACCCTGATTGTCTGGTCGTCAGAAGATGTCAAAAATGATGATCCATCAGGAGAAAACATCACTCCATGAACCCAACTTAAATGTCCTCTGCAATCAGCTACCTTTAGACATGAGTCGATATTCCACAGCTACGGAATAAACACAGCATAGAGGGAATCACACTCATAAACATTTTGAATATAGCAGGAGTATTGAAAATAGCAAAAATGACCCAGCATTACCACTTATACAAATATAGCTCAAAAACAAATTATCAAAAATAAAAAATGTCTTATCATAAAATTATTTAGTGCATTATTATTAATAGCAAAATATTAGAAACAACCGAAATCCCCATCAATAAGAAACCATCCAAATAAATAGTAATCACATAATGGAATACTATACAGCCATAAAAATGAGAAAACCATCCTGATAATGACTCTAGGATAATAATAATCTCTAGGATATTACTAATAGATAAAAGCATAAGTGCAGAAGAGTATACATACTATACAGTAACTACCTTTATATAAGAGAAAGAAAACTAAATACATGAACATATAAACGAATACAGCTATACATATATATGTGGAGAGCGGCAAGCCATGAAGCAGCAGGGCCCCCACAGCCTGGGGAACATTCAGGGAATGAACCCCCAACTGCTCCTCCTCCATTCCCAAAACAACCATATTTCTTTCTTCATGCTTCCTTTGCCAAAAGTCACATAGCTTTGTCCAGTTAATTTTTAAGAACTATGCAGAGATCCTTGTGATCTTTCCCTTCTTACTTCTTGTCATATGTTAACGAAGCTGAGCAGAAACCATTAACAAGATGATTTGTCTTTATTCGAGTTATTTACATTTTCCAATCATACTGTAAGACCAAAAATATGTCTTTGTTTATGCTACTTCCAGGGAAGTATGCTACTCCCCATGCTACTGTCTATGCTACTCCCCCCAAGACAACCCTGTGCAGATGCTATAAAATAAAGCTAGTTTTGTGCTTTGGGGCTGGCTGCAGCCATCAGCTCAGTCAGACCTCCCGATCCCATCTTCTGTCTCTGTGCCTTCTCTCATGCTGTATTTTTCTCAATCCCCACCAATTCCACTCTGGTTCACTCCCCTTCCCTGGGCTGGTTTGCGAAAGAAACACCAACAAAATGGTTACTGTGGAGGAAAAAGTAATGAAAGCAAGACTTCTCTGAATATAACTTATAAAGCTTTGACCTTGGAATCATGCGAACAATTTATCCATGTTAAAAAAATTAACCTAAACAAATAATAGGATGAATATAAGCAGCTTCCATATTTAGACTATTTTCCACTAATACTGTCATTTAACCTTCATTTCAACTGAGTGCAAGATCCCACAATAAATGAATGTACTAATTATAACATGCACACATTTCTCTTGTTATTCATGCTTATTACAAATTATCAGTGTCTGCCACCAGCCTGGCTGTATTTTGTCCTGGGTCCTGCTGTAAATTACTCAAATATATTCCAGTCTAATGAAGTACCATATGTGCCTGAGTCCCTCTCATTACACTTTAAATTACAGAACTACATTATCATTTCAGAACTAGCATGGACAAAACAAGTACTTCATCACATGCCCAATGGTTTTCATTCAGTGAGTTCTATGGTTATGAAGTAATTATAGGAAATTTTTTCTTCCTTATCTCTGGAGTCCAAGTTAGAATGCACAGAGCTAAAGGCCCAAAATGAAAGTGGTTCTCCAACTGAACAATCCTCTTTGAAAATCTTCTCCTTCATCCCACCTTGGTCTCCCTATCTCTCCCCCATCATTTCTTTGTCACTCAGAGCCTTCAGAACCAACTCCTTATATTTCAAGAAGGAAGACATTGTTTGCTGAGGCTTTCTAAGGATGGCAGAGGATAGAATTTTAGAAGTGACGGGAAAGGAGGAGTTGCTACTCCACTCCTTCTAAAAATTCTGACAAAACCCAAAGAAGAGAAAACTCTAACCACACCCACCTCAAGGATCTATGGGTTAAGTTCAAGATCTCCTAGCAGATCAGAAATTTCTGATTCAAAGCCTCTGCCAAAGAGACCAATGCCAATATTACTCTACTCTTCCCATGGTTTCAAACAGGACTGGAGCTTTTTCACATTCGCTGCCTCTACAGGATCTCAGTGGGGAAGTTCTTCAGTGCTGTGTGCCCTGCTGTACTCAGAACTAGGAGGAGCCCGTGGAGCTCATCCCCCCACTCTCATCTGAGCTTAGGAACTCTCCTCCAGGGCCTTCAGAGTAAGAGGCAAGGCTGGGCAACTCACTAAAAAGCACTGAAATGAGCACAGAGCACTGAAGAAGTATGTGCAGGAGTCCAAGTTCACTTGAAGAGGAGCTTGTGAACCAAGTGAACCAAGTCCCCATTTTCCAGACGAAGGGCCATACTCATCTTCTTGGAGCTGTCATCTGAAAGGGGCTTCAGACTACCTGCGGTAAAACCAACCTAAGGAATGAGGAGCAAGAAAGCTTGGAAAAATTAATCAACCTATCTCTGAAGGAAAAACGTAACTCATTGCTTTATGGAAAAATTAATATAGCAATTTACTAGGTGGAATTCTTCCAGAGCTAGTTAGATACAGAGTCTGAATATAAATTTAGTAAGTGCAAAATTATAAATACAACAAGTGACGTATAAGAGTTATTTTATTCATCAGTCTTGGCTTTGAATACCCTATCTTATCCTATTCAATGATCTAAGAAATATGAACTGAACTCATCTCTCTCCATTTCCTCTCAGAGGAAGAGACTCTGTGCCTATACTATTTAAGAAGCTTCATGTACCTGTGCCGTATGGTGCACACCATGTTTTTGTTCTGGGAACCAGTGATCATGCCACTTTCTCAGACTCCAGCATGTCAGGCATTCAGTAAATGCTTACAGAATGGTACTACCATTCCCTGTAATAGTGTCAAGTCAAGTCTTCAATCACTATTAAAGTAATAAAGCTGGTTGGCTATATGGCTTAATATCCCAAAGTTATAGGTCAGTATGCTAGCAAGAAAATACAATTTCTCAAGAAGCATCCTCAGCATTTAATGGTTTAGGCAGCCCATTCTCTGTCATCCTTAGCTCTTTGGAGACCCAGACTTCACAGGATAAGTTCAACTACTTACCTCTACACAGTATTGGGACAAAGCCACCACAGCCAAGTGGTTTTGAGGGGAGAAGTCACAGTACTGGATGGTGCTCTGATGGCCTGTGTGGATTTCTGCCAAAAGGCCACTGGTATGAATGTCAAAAAGCTATCAACATAAATAGAGATATCTATGAAGGCAAAATATTTTAAAAGATAAGCTATATATCTATATACTGACACTAAATCTAAATTTATGTTTAAAAGATCTCCTCCCATTGCAAACTTAAATCCTCAAAAAAATACAACTACTGGTAAGTAGCATAATTACGGAGTCATTAATAAAATAAAAATATCCATGTTCTTTTAAATACTGATCATCTTGAAACACATTTTCTTTTTCCTTTGAGACAGAGTCTCAAGCTGTCTCCCTGGGTAGAGTGCCATGATGTCATAGCTCACAGCAACTGCTAACTCTTGGGCTCAAGCAATCCTCTTGCCTCACATTTTCTATTTTTAGTAGAGACGGGGTCTCACTTTTTGCTCAGGCTGGTCTCAAACACGTGAGCTCACGTTATCCACCCTCCTGGGCCTCTCAGAGTTGCTAGGATTACAGGCGTGAGCCACTGAGCCCGGCCTTGAAACATATTTTCTATGAAGAAAAATTTATCAGAGCTGATCTCTCAAGCTGGCCTAGACAGAAATAAAAACTTTTGTGAATAAATGAATGGACTAGCCAAATTAATATCCACAGCAGTTCTCCCTAATGCTTGTTTAGTCAAAGGAGAAAATGTATACTCATAAATAAAGATGATCATTATAGAACAGAGGTTTGCTAAAATAAAATTAGCTCAATCATTTCCATTTCTCTCCAGAGCCACAAAATTACTTTATTATAATTAATCATTTCCCATTTTTGAACCCTCCAAAGCTACTTTTGAGTCATTCAAGCTTCTTCAATTTTTGAAAGATTTTTAAATGTTAAATATGGTCTTCTAAAGTTTTTGCAATCAGTCCCTTAAACTATATTGCATATTTTAATTATGCTCTTTAAAATAGTAATATCCCTTACTCATAGCTTTTTTTAAAGAACCATAAATCAGAAGATCTAGATCTCCTATTCACAGTCTAACTTTGGACAAACTGTTTGGCTGCTCTGAACCTCAGCTGCCTCACTGTTATCACAGGGTTACTGCAATCTGCTATGTCTCTTGGCTATTTATATCAAAAGAAATTATATGTGAGAACATTATGGGCACCACAAATGTAAGCTACTATTAGATGTAAAAAAAAAAAAGAGGAAGGCATGTTCTTATCATTAACTTTTTTTACATATCTTCCTCATTTACTTTATAAAAATCTCACAATCTTGTTCAGCCTTTGATGAGCCTTTCTCTCCAAAAGACTCAGCAATTCATAAAGTTTTAGGGTTAAGGAAGCAATCTGAAAAATCTCCTAAACCAATGTAATTAAAATTAAAAAACAGGAGCTATACAGAAATGTCTTAAATACATTTGAAGAACACTGGACTTCACAAATATAAATTGGTTCTGTATCAGAGGACTTCTCAGAACCTCAAATATGTTAGTTCACATTATGTACCTCTAATACAGGAAAGAAAGCCATGACAGTCCCCAAATCCATGTGACCATCTTTTCTCATAAGGCCATACATACCCTTTAGAGCACAATTCTAAGGAACAGAGAGGGTAGAGAGCCTGCCCAAAATCACACAGCTGGACTTTATTTAGATCAATAAACAGTGTAAAAATGCAAAAATTAATTTTCTTTAAATCAGAATAAATCTGGCTTTTTAAAACACAACTACTTACAAAGATTTTATTTTTTGCCGCCACTATTATCCTAGCACCATCAGCAGACCAGGAGCAGCACTTCACTATGACTTCCATATCCTCGGGGGGGTCCTCTGAGTTCAGGAAGAACTGCTTCACATTAATGCTTTTCTTCTCATTTGCTGATCTTACATCCCAAAGCTTCAGATTAAAAGAACAAAACAAAACAAAATACGTTTCACTCCCAAATCACACCTCTAGAATTCTACCTGGGTTAAATGTCACAACGCTTACTCACTTTACCTGATGGATTATTTTTACCTAGCCATGAATTTTTATAAATGAAGTACTTCAGTTTCATTCATCATCTTCCTAAAAAGAAAATATCAGATGCACTACCCAAAATGAAAAATTAAATAAAAAGTTAATAAGTGTCTTGCGTGGTGTGGAGAAGGCTAAGATTAGGTGTTGATGGAAAGGACGGTGATGCAGCAGCCAAAATGAAGAGACTCACTTGCCACTGCTGCCCTCTGCTGTGCCAGACATGAAGTACACGTCACATTTACCCTATGCACAGCAGAAGGGCTACTCAGGATCCAGTCTAAGCTGGGTTATAATCTAGCAAAGCAGCCAGAAACACAAGTCCCTGAAAATAGAAAACGAAGATATGCTGAAAAAAAGAAAGATTCCTGGGAGGGTGAAACAAGAGAATTACTTAAGCCCAAGAGTTTGAAGTTGCTGTGAGCTATCCACCACAGCACTCAACTCAGGGCGACACATTGCGACTGTCTCAGAAAAAAAAGAAGACTCCTTGCGTGGTTGGAGGAGCTAGATAGAAATCCTAAGGACTCAGATACAAAATATTCTAAACCCCACTCACCAGCAGAATCACTTGAATAGCACAAAACACAAGGGCCTTTAAGAAGATCCACCTTGACTCCTCTGGACCTTCAGCAGTGTCCCAGCATCACAGAGAGATAATGGATACCATGGTTAGACCAAAAGTTGGCCAAGGATAAGAACAAAAAAAGAAAAAAAGAAAAGCTACTTCTCAGGCTTTAAGTCAGCTTCTACAGCACAGCTCCCAAAGAAAAACATTATTTGTCTGGCCTGGTACATTTTAAATCTCTCTTGAGTTTAGAAAAATTTTATATATACTAAAAAATATGGCCAAAACCAAAACCTTTCCCCCTTGTAACAACTGTAGATAAAGGAAAAGACACTTAGCCTTTCAAAAAAGAAAAACCATAAACACCAGAAGCTTCAGTTACGTCAGCCAGAAGACAAGAGAAGTCACACCCTGTTTCCTTATTAATATGAAAAACAAAGCAACAACTGCTTGGCTTTAAGAAAGAAAACAGAAACTAACAAAACTGAATTTCATTATATCTGCCTAAATTATATCTTCTGCTTCTCGGCCTGACTTCATCTCTTATCCAACCAGTGATAAAATTCTACATATTGAGGGACCACATAAACTCATACTGGCATTTTATTTTATTTTTTTATTTTTTTTGCAGTTTTTGGCCAGGACTAGGTTTGAACCTGCCACCTCTGGTATATGGGGCCAGCGCCCTACTCCTTGAGCCACAAGTGCCACCCCAGCATTTTATTTTGAGCAAGTCACTGCACTGTATCTAGGGTCCCTGTGCACTCTGTGCCATGGTATACTTTAAATGGCTATTTGTAAATAAAACTCACATTTTGAAACTGTTTCTAATCAGAGCCTTAAAACACATCCTTGTCAACATGATACCTTACAGAAAGCTTAGAAAATTACAAAGCCATTTGGGGCAGGACATAATTTTACAGTTCTCATCCTCTCAGAGAGAGACTTTGACCTTGAAATGTTGTTACCTAACATCATTTTGCGGAGCCTCTGCCTACTAGATGTCACTGTATCACTGCACACCAGTCGATGATCCTGGCTTAACAGCACTGCGGGGAAGCCACCACGATCATGGGCAGATCTCACCTAGAGGGCAGTAATGTCGGTCCCCTGCTGCTAGTGCTCCGTGCTCTACAATCACACCGTGACACTCACAGGAATACAGAAATCAAAATCCTGCTCCCGATAAATGAAAACCTTTACAAAATGTCTCTGTGAAGTTGAAGGTCTTAGTTTGACGTGAAAAGACAGAGGGAAGTTTTATCGTCTTTAACACGTTCATTAAACACTAGGCTAGTCACTCTGAGCCTATAGAAAGGAATCAGCTAGAGAAAGTACCCTTGAGGAGTTTACGAATCAGTCAGAGAAGACAGGCAGGTAAATGACTCTGACACAAGGCAGGCCTGTCAGATAGGTCACTGGAGAGGGAAAGACACAGCACAGCGGGAACGCTGCACTCAAGCTGAGGGCGAGGGGACACTGTGTAGAGGAGATGACCGCCTCACTCTACTCCCTGAAGATTAGCCTACCTTACACCAACTTCTGGTTGGTGTCAAAAAGATAAGAAGAGGGTGGCGCCTGTGGCTGCAAAGGAGTAGAGCACCAGCCCCATATGCTGGAGGTGGCGGGTTCAAACCTAGCCCTGGCCAACAAACTGCAAAAAGAAAAAAAAGAATACTCTAGGGCTGAGTCTAGACGAAGGGGGGAGCATCAGCTAAAGTACAAAACAGGAAAGCAAAAGAAACGAGGCAACAAGCCCAACGGCTGTAGCATTAGGTGCTCACGACCTCTGACAGAGACCTCACCTGCCCTCAGAGCACCCTCTGTGTGCTGTTAGCACTTAGTGGTTAGTCTGTGCACTTACCTTCCCAACTCACTTCTAAACGACTCCAGGTAAGAAAGTATGCGTTTTTGGTTTTTAGTATTTAAGACTCAAACATCTAGTATAGTACCTGACACATGATAAGTAATAAATGACCAAGGAATACATTTTAAGTGAAAAGACAGATTAGTCTCAAGAGTCCTCACTCATCTCTACAGGTGAGTAGAGGTAAGTGTTACTGAAAGAAACAGGATTCAGGTAAAAGATGGAGATAGAATATGCTATAGTTTGAATATGGTTTGTCTGTCTCAACCGAAACTCATGTTGAAGTCTGATCCCCACTGTGGTGGTGCTGGGAGATAGGGTCTAGTGGGAGGTGTTTGGATCATGACGGTAAATCCTCCATGAGGAAGTGATGCCACCCCACTAGGCTGAGTAAGTTCCCCAGGAATGGGTTAGTTATAGGAAAACAGGTGGTTAAAAGAAGAGTCTGAAGACTGATGCAGTGGTACAGGCCTGGGGTCCCAGCTACTTAGGAGGCTGGATAGAAGGATCCCTTGAGCCCATGAGCTCAAGGCCAGCCTGGATAACACAGTGAGATTTCATCTCTTTAAAAAAAAAAAAAAAAAGGAAAGGAAAAAGAGTCTGGCTTCCTCTGCTTCACAATCTGGCTTCCTCTCTCTCCAGATGACCTCCTTGCATGCAACCACCCCCCTTCCACTTTCCATCATAAGAGAAAGCAGCCTGAGGCCCTTGCCAGAAGCAGTTGCCCAGTTCTGGATTCTCCAGCCATCAAAACTATGACCTAAATAAACTTGTTTCTTGATAAATTATCCAGTCTCAGATATTCTATTTAGAAACACAAAACAGAGTAAGACAATCTCCAAACTCTCCCCAAACACCGATAAAATAATAGTAAAGGCGATTTTTCTCTTGAGGCATAATCCACAAGATAAAGGAGAATAGAAAAAGGGACAACAGCAACAAAAACCTAAAGGCTAGAAAGACGGACGAGTAATATGACGATTTCTAAAAATTAAATTCTGAGCCTCCAGTGGGAAAAACCAAACAGCTCAACCACAGAACTCCTAAAAGGCTCAGGAAGTGTTGGCATCCAGTGCCTTCTGGTGAAGGGGAAGCTTAGGCAGGAAGAATCTTTAAAAGTCCATTGACTATCCTCTCCCTACTCTGCAGTCCAGGTAGACGGGGCCCTACAGTCTGATAAGGAACAGCAAACTATTCCATACCCAACACAGGTGAGAGCAGGGTCACCACACTGAAAACAGGGAAATTTTAAAAGTCTGTATTGTAAATGTTGAGATCTCTGCCAAAGTATCACCTCAGTAGCAATCCTCTCAGTCAGATTTATACTCTATCAGTAGGAGGCCAACGATTTATCTCCACACACAAGATCAGATCCAGACTGAGACTCTAACATGAGGACTTCACCATGAACACACGACAACCAGATAATCCACGGGGAAACAGTGTGTTCACAATTCCCAGTCAACTTTTTGGTTTTATAAGCCTCAGGACAGCCCAAGAACATTCGTGGACTGTGGGGAAGAATCCAAGAAAAGAATAAAATTCTAAAGAAGTAATATAAAGAGGAAATGATTAATGAAGCAAGGAACCAAGGAGGAAGGGCAGAAAGGAACAGTAGTTAACAGGGGACTCTAGGGCACTGAGATGGCAGCAGAGACCTTCTCCAGCAATTTCTGAGGGGGTCATTAGTAGATGGTTTTAAACCTCTGAATAGGCGTGAGGTAAAGTTATCTCTGCAGAATGAAATGGTAATGGGGTTAAGAACAGCAGAAAAGAGTTAGACTAGGCAAATAAATTAGGGATGATTTAACTCAGCAGTAAAGAAGGTCCAGCTGAGTCGCACAGCCTAGATCTGCATGATAACATATACATGGCCTGGTTTTACAACTTTCTTGAACATTCAGCACCTGATAACAATATAGCAATGCTAAGGATTAGGATTATTTTAGAATTAATCCTTTCAGAATTTGGAATGAGCAAAGGAGATAAGATGGAAAGAAAACTTGGCTTAAGACATACAATGCCTTCTTCTAAAGTAATTCACTTAGTAAAAACCAAGAAATAGGCTCGGCGCCTATAGCTCAACCGGCTAAGGCGCCAGCCACGTACACCTAAGGTGGCGGGTTCGAATCCCCAGCCCGGAC